TCTGCCATGCAGGGGTCTTACAAATCTCTTCATAATGGTGCAGCACTGTGTTTCCCACACGTGAACAATATGCAATGAGTTTCAGATTTTGTTCAGCAAGATCAACTTCAGTAATAAACCACAAACAGCAAGCCCATTATTTTTTTTAAAGCATGAAGTGAAAAGCAAAAAGGTCACTACTGAAATTAGAGAAGTATTTTGTAGTCTGAAATAAAAAGCAACGTCATGTTTCCCGGTTGTAGAATGCATTTCTGCAGCACGCCGTTAACGTCACCATAGCTGCCGCATAGATCTGAGTCACTGTCCCTCGCCACACTGTAGCACGTCTGCAGTGTTAAATACGCTAAAGGGGCATTGTGCATACACATTCATCTGTGTCTGGCAGAGAGCAGCGGGGGGGGGGGGGGTCTGGCGGGGCAGACCTTGCAGCAGGAAAGAAGGTGAATGAGTGTCTTGGTGATCAGTGAATGAAATCAGTCCCAGTTTCCTCATAGGCTCCCAGACTCACGTGGTGGAGGTGGTGGTGGAAGTGGTGGTGCGGAAGTTGTTGAATAAAGTCATTTGAAGCAGCACGCTGGATGAGCTCTTCTTCCCAAAAGAAGGCCATAACTCTTCATTGCTTTGGGCAAAGACCATCTAGCCGAGTTGGCAAATTAGACACTACAATTGATCATGGGAGTGGATGGAGGTTTTCTGATCAGAGCGGATACGAGCAGTGCTGAGAGGCGCTAATGAGAAAAGCATAAAAGAGTAAAACCCCTCACTGGAGCCGGATTACTAAATGTCCTGGACAGTAAAAGTCCCTTTTGGATGTGTATGAATAACTTATGGTGGTATAAATCAAATGTACTCGGCTTCATATCGACAAACTAATATAAATCACAAGAACAAAATGATCACACTGACATCTGACATCTGCAATCTTCAGCGCTGGTGTGTGAACATTTTGGTATAAAGCCGAATCAGAGAGGACGGCCAATTAACGTGGACAAGCCGGTATGTTGACGTTGTTAAAAAACAGTGGCAACAAAAAGAGAAGAAGAAGATAACGTTTATCGCATTTTTTTTTTTGGTGCAATATATCGTACTACAAAAAGGTAGTTATTGTGACAGCCCTACGGACACTAAGCCGAATCTTTGCATGTGTACGTATGCATGCGCCTGTAGACCGGAAACCTTTAGGTGAGATAAGCGACGCGTGAGCCGGCCGCTCACGGGTGGATTAAAAGAACACCGTAGCGCCGCTGAGCCATAGAATTGGTTTGCAAAAACACCTTAAACAGGCTTTAAGTGGGTCAGGACTCAGGACATGTTGGGACAGGATGTCACGCTGTCAGGGCCGCTCAGTGATTAGCCGGGCAAGACAAAGAGAGAGGTTAAAGTAGGATGAGACCGGTTTAGAAACACCGACTCTGCAGCAAACCGGCATTAAAAACAACGTGTTAGTGATCCGACACTTAGCGTCCAAGGGATGACCCACATTCAGAAGGTTCGAGAAGGCACAGGGAGCTCAAAGTGGGCCATGCTGCAAGAGACGACAAAATGAGCACATTGTGCAGGATCTGAGCTCCTAAGTGCTGCAGCAAAACGGATCTTTCCCCCCAAAAATATCAAATCCAAGCACTCTTAAAACAGCTGAACTTTGGTTCCCGTGTCAAACAGATCCAAGTGCTTTAATCATTCAAATGTTCTTATGTTTGTCTGGCTCAGTTTACTTTCATGATCCAGTCTTTTGAGAAAGAAAAAACGAAGCCAAACTAAGTGCAGGTTGCAGCAGCTGCTGCAGCAGCAGCAGCAGCTTACAATTCCCCAGCAACAGGAGTCAAAAGGCAAAGCTGCTCATTGCGTTTTCTAATTGTGGAGTCAAAGCTGCTGATGCAGTTATAGACAGTCACAAGCCGTCAAAGATGATCCCCTACCGGTCCATCTCAGGGACGGTGTCCTGTTCCACCGCTGGTCCTGTCCCTTTCACATACATAAAGTAACTTAACTGATGGAGAACTGGACCGTAGGAAACTCTCACCCTCAGGGTCCGGCATGCACTACACTAGAACTACTTCTAGAACTAGGAGGACAGGTAATAGGACAGGAGGAAGGAGCAAAACACTGTGTCCTTGTAGATAAGCAGCGCGCCTCTACGTTTCCATGGTGCAAGAGAGACTCATTTAATACCCTCTCTTTGCGGCATATGAGGTCATCTGGGAATTGAGGGCCTCAAGATGTAGTTATTGTCTTTAAAGCATCCAGATAGCAGTTATATAATATCTCAGGGTACGCCTGTTTTTGTTTTTCTATTGGTCTTGCGGCCACTGAGATAATTTGTGGACGTGTCCCTTCAGCTCTGAAGCAGCAGCCAGAGTGGTATTGTGCTTGACATTCCAATGTGACTCCCAGAGGACAGACTAAAGGCTTTGGAACTGGACTGATGCGATAACGGCAGCAAAAAGCATAGAGTACATTTCCTGTTATTGAGGAGCAGCAGCCACGGCTGAGAGTTACATGGTTTAAACAAACTGCTCCAGCGATACTTTGAACTCGACAATAACACATTGGAATAAAAAGACTCTTAAAGGACACATGTTAACACACATTGGTGTTTGTGTCATTCTTGTGTAGGAATGTCGCCACAATGTCCCTTTTACAAAAAAGGGAAGTTTAGAGATTTCTACTTGGACACATTCGCAAGGTGCGGTGGCAACAACATTCTTAGTCAGGACATTTAGGAGTTGCCTGCTTAGGTAACATTCAACTGTAAACATCAGGCGTTTCTGCAATAAATCATTTAATTAAATCACTTCGTGTCTTGTCAAGTTGACTTTGGCACAAGTCAAAATCCAAAGTAAAGCAACACCATCCAACTGTCACAGGATGGTGCTGACAATTGGTTTATTTTTCTTGCCCCATGTCCGTACCGCGGAACATAAGGGCAAGAAAGGGCTTGATTGGCACGCGAGTCGATGCTGGCTTGTAAAACAGAAAGCTCGTGCTGAGGTTTGCAGCTGACTTTCAACTACAAACTTCTAAGAAGAATCTGCCAAAATACAGAGGAAGCTGGGAGCACTGAGATTAACGTGCTCGAGGAAGAGCGTAGAGCAACTGCTGCGGAACCAAAACAGCTGAAGGGAATCTGAGATACAGCACGACTTATGCCACAGTGCACTCGAGACACAGCGGTGTCATGCAGAGGTTGACACACTTTGATAGCATCTGTCAGTGAGGCGATCTGAGGCTAAAAGAATGCACTTAAAATGCTTTAACAGAGGAATGTAGAGCCTGGGCATTCACACCCAGAAGAGTCGATGGCTATTTCATGGGACTGATGTGAAATTCTTTAAAAAAAAATAAAAAAAAGTCCACTCTAGACAAAGAGAAACTGGTTCTTGTTTAAAACAATAAACTGTACAGACTATCAATGCTCTGTAAAGGTTTCCTATATACGCAGAAGGTTGTTGCACAACTACGTAGCAAAGGAGACAGATCTGCTCTTGGGTAAGTGAAATTGGAGAGAATTCACTGGGTTTTCAATTTAAAAAAGAAAAAAAGAACCAGTGTGTGTGTGTGTGTGTGTGTGTGTGTTGTGACGCACCATCAGGTCTGCTGACTGCAGAGCGAGAAAGGAATCCAAATGCACCAAACTGAGCGATCTGTACGTTGCGTGCATCCATTAATTCAAGTGTTCACCACACTTTGTGTATTCAACTTTTAACATCCACCTTATCGGTTGCTGCCCTAGTTTACAAACATAGAGGACTATTCCGTCAGTAAGCCTACAAAGAGCCCATGAGGCGGGTCATCTCCAGCTTACATATTGTGTAATTCTGCTCTCCTATTATTACTATTTCCCCCCCTGGGTTGTGTGCTTAGGTGAAAGGACCAGCCCTCGATTTACAGGCATCTTTTTGCCCGTTGCTCAAACCAGCCAGTGCGGAGGAGATTTCGCCTTCCCGCATCCTCGGTCGGGTGGATGTAGAAAGCCGATTTCCATGTAAAGAGAACAGCACAGGAACCATGACAGGCTGTTAAAAAGGACTCACTTCCTCGTGATCAGGGGCCATATGAATGAGAAAGGCCGGAGATTGCTGATATTGCTGAAATTCATCAGCACAGTAACGAAGACTATTTGACTTTTTTCAACCGCCTGTTTGAAAATAACCGGTTGCATAATCCAGTCCAGGACTCTTCAGGCGTGCACTTACTCCACATTACTGAAAAACAGCAGCTGAGGTCAAAACAATCCATCCACTGGGAGATTCTAGTTCACAGTTTTGCACACTATTGGTTGCCATCTTTTTCCCACTGAATATCACAAAGAAAATACATTTATACAATTCAGAAATAAGGTGTTTTGTCATTGTTTTTCAGATCCAATGTTGTCATGAAACAATGCACGGCTCCAATCAGTTAGTGTTTTCCATGTGTTGGCTGCTGGAGCCATTTAGCCAGTGACCCCCCCCCCCATCCCCCCACATCTCCTGGCCCGCTGCACTGGGGAAAATACTAAACAGATTTGCATGGCAAACTATATGCAGAAAGGGGGAAATAAAGAGCAAGTGCCAAACGTTAGTGAGAGAACGCGCAAAGATGCCGCAGGGAATGGTGCTGAGAAAGCCATTAAAAAAGAAAAAAGAATGAAAAAGGCGAGAAGAGGAAGATGCAAGTCAGAGGAACTCATGCTTGAAAGTGAGAGACACTTTGTAGCAAGGCCAACACTAAAAGCCATGGAAGGAACTTAATATTTTACAACAACTCTCAGGTGGAACCTCTGTTTGACACAACAGCACAGTTGTGTTATACATCCAGATGTGGAGTGTGCGAACGTACAGCAGAATACGCGCTTCGCTTTCGGAATCTGTGAGCCAATCACACGCAAGATGTTTTTCGGATCAAGTGATTACCTTCTGAGGGCCCTTTGATGCTCCCACACGCCAGCATTACACATAAACTGGGTCGATGGCACGAAATGTTAAGAGTTGGCCGGCAATATGGGCAAAGACACTTACCGCCATGACCAGCTCAAAGGGATGCTTGTACACCCGCACAGGTGACTGGTACTTCTGCACCATGGTGGATGTTGCAGTGACTCCAACAACCTGAACAGTAATGAGAATAAATTCAATCAGAAAAGAAAAAAACAAGTTACAATCACAGGCATTTGTCAAAGAAAGAAAATAAAGAAAAAAGCAGCGATGTCGGGCGGCATGTTATTCTCTCTTGCGCCTTCATCACAATAACTGCATGCTACCACATCACAGTGGCATGGGGCCCTAAAAGGGGAGACTCTGCGTGTTCTTAAGCAAAGGTGCGTTTTGGCTGACTGCTTTGATGATGCCAGCCAGGTGTGTGTGTGTCCGTGCATCGTCATGGCCTGCAGAAGTAAAACTCTCCAGAGCAGTGACCGAGGATGTCACTGATCAATGAATGCAGCACCAAGGCTTATATCCCGGCAGAGTCCACCCCCAGTCTATGCAGAACTACGGGTAACTGCGACACACAACTAAGTCTTACTTAAGATTTCTAAAGAATGAGCACAACTTTTGTTTTTTATTCATAAACAGCACATTCCACATGCTGGTGCAGAGGACAGAGCACCGGGTGACGTAGTTAAAACATCTTGGTTAACAATATCGCTTCTATTTCACTTAAACGCGAGTAGTCGGTCGACAAACGCACACCCAACGTGTTGAAATGCAATCTTAACAGAATGGGACGCAAAGACAATCACTCTGCTTACTCCAGGCCATTCAACAGAAGTGCAAAGTGGGGCTTGAACTTCATGTTCTGCAATGGTTCAGCATGCCGATGCATGCGGGGGGGGACGGGACTAAAGTCCCAGTACTTCTAACAGAGGGATCAGGGGAAGCAGACTAATAATAACTGGGTTAGGACCGAGTACAAACCACAGCATTGCTCTATGGCTATAAGTTTGCTACCGCTGTGCATAATTACCGTCATGCTTCAGGATCTGCCGGAAGCTTCAAAAGACACGGCGAGACAATTAACTGTATTTCAGTAACAGTTCAGGTGACACGCTGTCAAAACACGTCAACAGGAGTCGGTTGCGACGCTAACGCTGAATATCCAACTCCTTGGCTACAACAAATAAAATAAGATTAGACTCAGCAACAGCTTGCTTATTGTTATTTAAATAAATTTAAAAACACCTTGATGATGCATAAACAACATTTACGACAGCGACGTGTAAACGTCAGCGTGCGCGGTGACAGCGCTGGCTAATTGAGACTAGCGCGCGAGCTAGTGCCAACTAAACGTTGTTTAAATCGAATAACGTCAACTTGATACAAACCGCGTAACTGGAGCTTACCAGTGATTCGAAGATGGAAATAAATCGGGGCTGGTTTAGTGTCGCTAGTCGCGGTTTCCTCCAAAGGGGTTATCCGAGTAAACTCTTGCCATTCCCCTCATCGGCTCGCCACTTCGCCGGTGGTGGCGGTGAAGCTGAATCCAGAAGCTAACAATTAGCTTTATTGTGCTAGCTGGTCATGTAGTCAGAGGAGGAGGCGGACAACCCGACCGATGGACAAGTGACGCCTCGGGGTCCGACGCTGGCTGGCAGAGCAGGAGCGATGGACGAAGTCTCCGAGACAGTGGTCGAGGCGTTAAATCACCCCGAAATGAATAAGGCGTGTGAACAGATGGAAAGTCTCTCTCCCTCAGTCCTCTCCTCCTCCTCCTCCCGCAGTCATGCGTGTGACGTAGTGCCGTAGCCCCGCCCCCTTTAAACTCCTCCTCTCAGGGCAGCGCGGTGCCGCTTTCATAAAAATCCACAGACCACAGAGAACACCGAGGTCTGCCATCTGTGAGCAAGGTTGTAGTTACGGCCTTGGTGTTTGATATCATCAGATACATGAGATATGAAATTGAGTATATGCACAGAAGGTGAGGGTTGATTTAGGGCGGCCTGCTTGTTAAAGGGGCACTCTCTGCCACTCAAGAATTGAAAGAAAAAAGAAAGCCTCTTTTTTGGGAGAAACTTTAACATGCCACGTCGTTTTTTTAGACCCCCCACTGCCTCATAAATGTCCATATCTTACAAACCCCGCGGATTGTTGACTATCCGTCAATTTGAATTTGCTATGTGACTAACAATTCCCAAGACTGGTCTGTAAATAAGTTAGATCACTAAATAATGATTTTAAATGAGATAAGCACACATGAAAAGCACTGGGTGTCACCAACGCTCTCTTTTTTTCCAACCCTCTCGTTATCTTAGCTATTCATGATAGAGATAGAGAGTCCCAAGGTGCCAGACATCCAAACACCATGTTTAAATGGAGACAGTGAGCTATTTTTGGCCAGAGGTAATGAATGCTTCCATTAAACTGTGGTAGTTCTTGTAGCGCTGACATGTGAAACAAGCTTCGTGGGGAAATCCAAGACCTCTGCTGTTGTAAAAGGTAGTCAATTGTTGCAGGTAACCTATGACATGTAACGAGACCTGTCACAAAATAACGACAGCAATCTTGTGGAAAAACACAATAAGCAGATGGAAATGAGCCTCTCTGTCTAATCTTTGGCTCACTTACAGTACAACTGTTGATTGGTATGCATTGTCCCTGCAAAATAAATGAATAAATAAATAAACTAATCTAAGTGTTTCATCCATTAAGCTTCAAGTACGTAACTCAATTTGATTGAACAAGTTTTACTGCGTGTATATATACATGTGTTGCACAAATATAAGCTTTAGTTTAGTTCCTTGCGTTAGTCACATCCTAATTATATAAGAGGTTTAGGGATGTCTCTGGATGATAACATTAATGTGTAGGCTAGTCTGCACAGCGAAAAACAGTAAAGGTTGCTGTATAGTTTGGCTGGAAAATGCAGTTATGAAGGATATGATCCATGGATTCATACCCTGCAAGATAACATGATTTGTCTGCAATTTCAGAACTTTGGCTCGGATTCAATCAAGGTCATTGCAAAGAATCATCATGTTGTTTGCTGAAAAGACAAATGGTAACACAATCCTATAATATGAATAATTTGCAGCCTGTGGAGAGGCATTCAAAAGACTAATAATTATAAATACAGATGTATTCATCAAAACGATTGAGGAGAATCAAAACAGGACTCTTTTGAATGCTGTTGAATTAGCTGTGCAGATTTTGCCCAAGAGTGTGTTGACGCAATAGCATCTGTGGCAAACGGATCACTGAACTGCAGACAAGGACATGCAGCACGCTCTGCTGGGCAATGGCTGCAGTTACTCTTCAACTTACATGTTCTGAATAACAGTCCACAAATCCAAACTTCTTTTTATTTACAATAATATCGATAAAAACCTCACTAGAAACTAATAACCCCACTAAAAGCATAATATTTTCTCATGTGTGAAGCTGGAACCAGCGTCCTTGCAGATCTTCAGCACACGCCCATTTTTAATAGAATTTCAATTCCACCATCAGTACCAGTGTGCGGACACCAGAGGGCCTGAATGCATCAAGACACAAATACATATTCTGCAACTGTGAATGTTCATTGAGTGTTTCACTGGAAGTTTACTTTGGAGACGTTTTAGAGATTGACCCCAATATGGAACAATAAACAGTTAACAGTCTTGAGTGGTATTTGTCTTAAACTTAATTCATATGCTGATATTACAGAAAATATGTAGAATTCTGCAGTGGCATCAGTAACTTGCTATCCACTCATATTCTACCCACCAGGCATAATGTGACGTTGACCTCTCGGCAGGCTGGGACACAGAAGCGTGCCCTGCAGGTGTGTACGAGCAGAGAGTAGCATGACTGCAGGAAGTGGTTTCTCAGAGTCTGACAAGCCAATCTCGGCAGGATGCGCAGCCTCGCTGTGACAGGAAACGGTTCTCAACAGTCAACAGACCTACACCCACCCACAGGTATCTGACAACAAGTGCACACTGACACCCTTTTACTTCTTTATTGATCAGTAAATGAACTGTGGTATTGGTGTTACTATAAGTACAATTCTGAAAAATCACAGTATTTGTCAATCAATAAGTATCTCGGGAGATTTTCATGCACTACAGAAGAGATAGTAGGGATGAAGACACGTCCTTCTTCATTTAAATGAACACTCACAATGTGACTCACTAAATGACTCAAGAAGAGAGACAAGCAGGGTTCGTTTGTGGTAGAGCTCAACTACGCATATCAAATCCCACTTGAAAAAAAATATCTGCATTACTTTCTTTATTTCTTCAAGATCCTGGGTCATGTGCTTATTCAACAAGCCGTCAGACTTCATTTGGACCAATACCTTTGACGAAAGCAGAACAGGAAGGGAGAAAGAAGGGAAGTATTAAGAGAAAACATCGAACCTAGATTAAAAAAATATACATCTCTGTGCCATTTCACGAGGAAGTAAGCGCTCTATGAGTAAGAGGGACTCGGCGCTGCAGCAAACAACCCCACACAGAGCAGCTAGCAGCATATTGTTGCCGGATAACATTTGGCAAGACAGGAAACGAGAGAAGCAGAGAGAGCGAACCAGTGAAGGCACCGACTACTTTGACATCCTTAGCAACGACGTCTCAAAGATAGCAGTGAACCGGAAGCGAAAAAAGGTGGGATCTCCTACTAAGACAATTTAGTTCTAATTTGGATTTATGCGTCCTTGAGAGGAGAAGCGTGAGTCACACATCTTTCACATCTAGAAATGGGCATCGAGGAGAAAGATGTTGAGGCTTCAGCTCAACAACCACTGAAGGAGCAGGGATTACCAGAGAGAGAAAAGGAATTGTCTGGAGAGCCTCCCCAAGGACAAACCTCTGAGACCACCGACCCCCTGCACACGTACAAGTGGCACACCGGCTCCAAGGGGAAACTCAATGACCCGAAAGAAGATGGGGATGAAGGAACAGCTTCCTGCACATCTACTATCGACAAGAGCCAGAAGACCTCCACCAACAAATGGAGCAAGATGCAGAACTGGCGCAAGGCCCTGAGCGAGGACCCTGGAGACAAACATTCATCCGGTGGGAAAGGCGGCGATGGAGTCAAGCCGGATAAAGGTGCCAGAAAGAACCCCTTCAGAAGGGCTCTGTCGGAGCCTCCGGGGTCACTTTTTGCAGCCATGTCCACTTCCTCCAGCTCTGCCGGCTCAGCTCAGGCAGCATCACCGGCAGCCGCTACAGAGGCCCCAGGGGTCTCCTCCACCACCGAACCCTCCCAGAGAGCAGGCGGAGGGGCGCTGCTTAAAAAGTACCTGAGGACGGTGTCCCAAAAGCTAAAAAGGCCCAGGCTGCAGAGCCGGAACAGCACCCCAGCATTACTGCAAGGTAACCCCAGTAACCCTGACTTCACAATGACACATGATGAATAGGGCTGTCGTGCTTTTGAGAGTGCAATTTTTGACAAATCCAGAAATAAAACCCAACCTAATATCAAAGCTGACTAACTCAAAATAAGATAACGGAGCAACAGAACAAACCAGTAGTAACAGAGAATTATCTACAACATAATTATATATTAGAATGTCTACAGAACTAATGGCATGAACTTAAGACTTTTTTGGCAACATTTTCAGATACTGAAACTTATTTCTCCACCACAGAAAGCTAGTCATGTGTCCATTCAAAAAACATAATTCATTATTTTGGAAACTGACGACTGTATAGAACGACTTGCATATGTGGTAACCTCAAGAAAACAAACCAGTATTCTCAACTAAAGATTTATAGACATGCAACAAATTGGAAGTCAAAATCACAAATGTGTGAAGAAAAAGAGTTTTGAATAACCCGCAGCATTAGCAGCTGCTGTTTTTTCAAACACAGAAATTAAGAATCATTTCATGCTAAATATTGGCACATTTTCTCCCCCACTGAAAAAAAGGCTAAAACTAGCAGACCAGCAGAACCCAGAGCTTCTTTATAAGTTCTGGCCCTCAATGTGGCAAAGAACAGAATCCTTCTTTTGAAGGTCATAACTGCAGAAACGTGACAATGAAATATGGCCGTAACAGACGAAAAGCAGCGAGTAATACCGCTACTTTCGACAAAAGAATTTACTAACCACGATCACAGGAAACTTCCGCCCTGCCGAGAACGAACTCAAAGCTAAACAGGCTAGTCATTGAAATCCTAAATGTAATCAGATGTTGAATGAGCTGTACTCTATGTCACTGAGCTGTGTTCATTTTCTTTTACAAAAATAGCATTCAAAAGTGAACAAAATAAATGTAAAGTTACTTTATGGAACTGTCCTTTTGTGGGGGAAGTGTCAGGATTTCCAAAGTCCATTTAGAAAACCTTTTGTTTTACTGCAACAGGGCTCTCGCAATCCTCGCAAAGTTGATCTTTGGGCCTCAGCTAACTGAGACTGCAGAAACGATGTGAATCGTTATGAACACACCGAGCAAAGAGCATCCAACTGTAAAAGATTTGGATTAATAAACAATAAGAAAATATCATTCACTACATTACATACACATATTCATGGATGTATTATTGTTCAAATTGTTTTTTGTCCATCTAACTTTTTAAAGTTAGCGATAAGATTATTGTTTTTGAGCTAAAACATCATGGAACATTGAGTTTATTGAAAAAAACTAAATTGAAACCTAATGTGTCAAACAAATACTTCAAACGCAAAGGATGAGTATGCCAAGGGAGAACAGGGCCCCACAGGATGTCACTAGCTAGTTCTGGTTTGTCATGAAAAGACAGCGATAGCATCAGTAACGCTAGTAAATCCTCAAACGGGAGTGGGACAGTCTTTAGGGAGATGAGTCCCATCGAGCCATTATTACCACAAAAATAAGCAAACAAGGGCCAGCGGCCATGCACTATTGACATTTATTGTTTGACTATATGGTTTGTGCGCCAGAGTGCGAGAAATCAGATGTGATCATATAGTGTCCATTGGCTCAAAGCAATTCAGCAAAAGCTGCATGGTGAAGAACATCAGTGTGTGGGTGCACGTCTGTTTGTGTATCAGATCTGGAGGAGGACCTACCTGCTCAACTCCCAAGACTACATTGGGCCCCGGCTCAGGAGCTGCCCTTGTGGGACATTAGCAACTGCATCCTCGAAGATGGACAAATTCTAATTTCTCCGGATGAAGAGGTACCAACACACACGTACACGCCCCAACTCCCCATAGCTCACCAAAATGTGTTACATCTGCATCAAATGTGAAAAGAGGACGTAAGCACCGCACTTCCAGTTACATGATGAAATATGTCCGCGTGTGTGTGTGTGTGTGTGTGTGTCCGTCTTTCTCAGCCAATGATGTGGACACGAAACCGAGTCAGCAGCTGCCTGTCCAACCTCAGCATGCAGAACCTTATTGATATCGACACAGGTTAATATGTCAATCACACACAGAAAACATTCAGAAAAAGTATGACCTACACGTTGTATAATTCTGCAGAAATTCACAGAGGAAATGACTGAATGTTTATGTGTGCAAGAGACAAATTACTTCCCCTACGTATTTTGGGGGAAGATAACATCTCGCCTGGGTGTTCCGACAGTCGAGATCTGGTAGGGAGGGTGAGGGCATAGTCAGTGTTTGCTCCTATTCAAGGCGTTCTGTTAATGAAGAAGGTGCACGCTGGAAGTGATGGATGTTGTATTGTTTTCGGCTGGTTGGCTTTTTTCATTTTCATAATGATGAAGACAGAAGGCTGATCTTTGTGGACTGTTAAAAAAGGCCAGCACCACTTGAGATCAAAGTAACAAGACTGTGGAACAACTGCGGACTACATGATGGGATTTAGACACTGGATTGTTTGTGGTGGGGCTTTCGGTAAGGAAAATCCGTCTGAACTTTAGGTTTTAAACTTTTAGTCTCCCATCTTTGATTTTAAAGACATCTTTACCATACAACGGAAGGGTTTAAAAAAATACACTGAAGCGACAAAAAAAGAAGAACTCAAGGCAGAATGTGATTTTATAATTTCCTGCTCCGCAAAGCTTTCAACGGGTTTTAATATTATCCTCTTGCGAAGTCTACCAACTTAGTCAAGTTTACTTTGACAGCCCCAAGGACAGCTGCACACCACATCCTTTATTGACAAATATGAAGGTATTTGCTAATATTATGTCTTCAACTAAGGGTTTGAGGGTTTAGTCTTTTAGTGCTGGTGTTTGTGTTGGAGCAGTGACAGCACAGCATCTCTGGAGGGTTTTGAACCCTATTAAAAATGTGTTGTAGATATATATGCCTGGAAACGATTCACATTCAAATTACTGACCTCAAACCCCAAAAGGAAAGACTTTATAGAAAATATTTCTTTGTTTATAATTGCCTTACTGTGTTAAACAAACGCACGATGTCCAGAATTGACATAGAAATTACATTATTACAACAGTTAATTTCCTCCCAACACTCAGAATGTAGCCCTGAACATGCGGGGTCACCAGGTGGCGCTCGACCAAAGAATCAAGATGGCGGTGTGAGGGTGAGTAACATACACAACAGAGATAACTGCTTCCCCTGCATTTCCTGTTGACGTAACCCATAATTTCCCTAAAACGCCGCGCTTGCGTTCTTTGTCATTAGGCACTGATCAAGCGGCGTCTCGAGAACAGGGCCAAGAGGAACAGCAACAGCCAAAATAACCCTAAAGGACTAAACAAAGGAAGCAGGTAAAGGTCCCTGTAATATTTTATTCAAGGGAAAAAAACTGACGATGAATGTCAGCAATCAATCCAATCTCTACAAATCCTTCTTTTAAACCCCGATAGAGTAATTGTTGACATATAATCTATCAAAAATGTATCATCCCATATGTCCCATGGGCTTTAATAATGGGCATTAAAGCTGAAAGTAAATTGTATTACGCTTGATTTGACTTTTGACTAAAACGTTGACTATTTTTAAGGCACTACGGTTCCCGGGAGTCTGTTTCAATTCCAGTCAGTGCATTGGGGAGTCTAGATCTGAGTGCAGACACAAGCACGGTCATCCGGCCGGTCCACAGCTCCATTTTGGGGGAGAAGTACTGCTTTGAGGTAAACTTTTACTGGTGCATTCTGTCTGAGATACAGACTACTCATGAAGCATCATATTGTGAAATATACTTTCCACTTTCTAGTAAGGCTAACAAGGTGGTTTAAATGTAGGTGATAAACTCAGAGAACACCCATTGCTTTGGATGCTCCTCTGCTGCCGAACGTGATCGATGGATTGAAGACCTGAGAAGGGCTGCCCAACCCAACAAGGTAAACCATCGGCCACTTCTTCTAATGCAATGCATTCCCTTTAATCAAAATCTTCCTAAAGCAAGATCGATGCATCTCTGTTCACAGGATAACATCGAGCGCACAGAGAACTCCCTCAATCTGTGGGTAAATGAAGCCAAGGACCTGCCATCCAAACGGAGTTATTACTGCGAGGTACACCTGGACGGCACCCTGTTCGCCCGCACCAGCAGCCAAGCTGTCGGCAAGCCACCCGATCGCTCAAGCCTTGCGGGAGACAGCTCTACTGGGTCTTCAGGAGGTCTGGGAGCCAGTGGAGGTGTGGTAGGAGGGTGTCAGCTATTCTGGGGTGAATTCTTTGAGCTAGACAACCTGCCCTGTGTGTCCCAAATCACACTGCACCTCTTCCGAGAAGAAGACCCCAAGAAAAAGCGCCACTCAAGAGATGAATCCAGCCTGCACCCGCTGGGCAGTGTGGCCATACCTTTAGCGGAGATACAAGGGAGAACCTATCAGGAGAAATGGTATCCAATTACCCCATACAAGGCCTCAGGCACAGTAGGGAGCAAAGAACTGCTGGGTCCACAGGCTTCACTCCGCATCAAGGCCCGTTTTCAGAATTTGAGAGTGTTGCCCATGGAGAAATACAAAGAATTTGCCGAGTATGTGACTGTGGATTATGTGGAAATGTCCAGAAATCTGGAGCCACTTCTGAATGTCAAGGCAAAGGAAGAGCTGGCAGGAGCTCTGGTCCATGTGCTGCAGAGCATTGGCAAAGCCAAGGTGGAGTCTCAAATAGAATTCACATAAGCTGATTGTACCAAAAAATACAACAAAAAGGAATAACAAAACATCTAAATGTGTGTTCTTCAGGAATTCCTCCTCGATCTGGGCAGTGCAGAGGTGGAGCGTCTTGGGGAGAAGGAGGCAATGATCTTCAGAGAGAACACATTGGCCACTAAAGCCATAGATGAGTACATGAAGCTGGTCGGCCAAAAGTACCTCATTGTCACACTAGGTGGGGAAGCTTAATGGTAAAAGGGGCGTCTTATAATTGGCATAGACCGGTGCTCTGTTTAAAACAAACTCTGTGCTGTCTTTTCACCGCAGGGGACTTCATCTCCCGTCTTTACGCCTCGGTGGAGAACTGTGAAGTTGACCCTCGTAAATGCCATGGCTCTGACTTGTCAAACAACCAGAAGCAGCTGATGGAAGCCTGTGAGGAGGTGGTGCAGAAGATTATTGAAACCCACGGGTGAGAGAAGAGAACTCCTCATAAAATATCTAATCTAATATTCAATGTTTACGCTCTTATTTGTGCTGAGGAAAATTGCAATTCACAAGGTTGATGCTTAAAAAATGTTTTCCCCCCCAGACCCTTTCCTGAAGAGTTAAACAAGATCTTCTCTAGCTGGGTGGAGCTGTGTGAAGACCAGGGCAGACCGGAGATTGGCCAGCGTCTCATCTCGGCTTCTCTCTTCCTTCGATTCTTGTGCCCTGCTATCCTCAGCCCTTCCCTCTTTGGCCTGGCGCAGCCATATCCAGAGCCAAACATCTTGCGTACCCTCACCTTAACTGCCAAAGTCATCCAGAATCTGGCCAACTTCACCCTGTGGGTGGCTTCTTATCTGCCAAGATATTAAATTAGAATAAGGAATATACTTATTTCACACTAAATGGCTTAAGTAGATTAATGATAATTTGTTCTAATCAAGGTTTGGAGAGAAGGAGGAGTACATGAGCTTCATGAATGAATTCCTGCAGCAGCACTGGGACGGAATGAGAGGTTTTCTACAAACAGTGTCAAATTCAGACACAGAGATCCCAATGTCTTCCTTCGATGGCTATGTGGATCTGCCTCTACGCTTGGCTATTCTCCATGGCCTTCTGGTGGACATCATCCATCAGAGGGACCAGGTAGGACAGAAAACACCTGAGTCTAGTTTGTTTGGTTGGTTGTTATAAAAGGTTGTGAAACTAATGCATATTTAAAAGTTGTGTTTAAATGAACTTTAAGCTTGTGTATGATAGAACCAGTATTCTGTTTTGCATACTGTGTGGTTTTCAGTTGCAATGAGTCAATGAGTCAATGAGTCAATTTGCTGAATAATACAGTGAAAGTACCATTAGACGCCAAACAGGATATGTCTCCAATTACCTGCTTATCATACTGTTACATCTGATAGTGGTGTCTGTATCCAGATACTTTGTGGATAAAAAGATGGATATTTGTGATTCATTTCAATCTGCCGGCCTAGCTCCAGATGTACTGTGGCATAATTGACAACAACTTGATAGATGATTTCATGTTCAGCTTGCCTTAATAGCATTTCTCCTATCAAGGTACTGGCCGGATGTTCAAAGAGTGTACTAAATGGGACCTAACATGCAGCTCGTTTCTCCCTCAGGACACAATTGAAAAGCTGCACCCTCTGCCTTCAATTCTGAATCAGATTACAGAGTCACTTGGTCCAGAAACACATCGGATCATGATTAGCAGGTATGTTAGGGACAACATTTTCAATGCTTTGTAAAATTGGACATTGGGATGTTGAATGTTACTCAGCTGTCTCTTTCTTGCAGCCACATGGGACCAGCCAAGCCAATGTACATTCCTCCTAAAGACTTGGCTAAGTACAGCCCTCACCAATCATCCCTCCAACAGCTTCCTTTGGACTCCAAATCTCTACGAGATGTGTACGACAGTTGTATACGAAGCCCATTTCTGACTTTCCCTTAAGTTTAACCTATGATTTACACACTCATCCAACCACCTGTCCATTGATTTTATGCTTCTTTCTTTCAGAGCATTTAATCTATTGATTGCTGTCGCATCATTTTATGTAAGGCACTTAAATAAGTAATATATTTATTAATTGATTACATCGATAGGGATGGCCGGACTCGAAGGAGTATGAAAGCGAGGAAACCAGTCACTAGAACTCAGAGTGCTCCACACAGACGTCCAGGTCAAGCAAAACATACCTTGAAGAGGCAGACGAGTTCTGAAACTCTGCCGACAGCTGACAATGAGCAAGAGATGAAGACCAACCAACCACTTATCTCATCACCAAATACTGTGAGTACAAAGAGGAACAGTGGTCCTAGTTTGACAATTAGGGTTACTGAACTCAGCGGATTATGCGCCCATGTAAGCAGTGAGATAGTGTGACTTTGTGTGGTTAATTAGAAGGAATCAAGTTGACTATCTCTGCTCTTGTTTCAGATTGGCAGTATCAAACGTTCACCTGCGCCAGTTCCATGGATCAAAGTCAGCCACAAAAGGGAGTCAAGTGAGATGAAGCCTGAGAATGAGCCGTTCAACTTGCTCGATAGGGTATGTCAAACCTAATACCCTCTACAGTGACACAATCCTAGTTGTACAGTGTAAGATCTCAGCATTACATTTTAGAAAATGTACAGCGTCAGGGTCTTGCTAGCCTGGTGGGGCCTTTTTCTGTGTGTAGTTTGCTTGTTTTACCGGCGCCATATTGAGCTCCAAAAGCATGCAGCTTATGTTAATTGCTGACTCTTTAATGCATGTGGGTATGAATGTGAGCGTGAATGGCTGTCATTCCTGCGATTGACCGGCAACTTCTTCAGGGTGTACCCCACCTCTGGCCTAATGTGGCTAATGAAAAGGAATTTAATCTAATGTCATTCACATCCCAGCATGCCCAGGAGCTATCAGAGCTCCGCCTGGGGATAGAGCAGGTAACCGAGCGTGAGCTGGACATGGCAAAGCGCCTGGAGGACTTCATTATCCAAAGCCAGGACCAGAATGTAATGCTGCAGGCTGAGGTGACCGAGATCCGGAATCAACTGGCTGTCCGCGAAGATCAGCTCGCCAGTGCCACCTTCAGGTAAAACAGTACTGCATCGCACAATTCCTAACTTGAATTAGTCTCAAGACTCAAGATTTTTGCCAACACTGCTGAGTTGTAACTGTTATTCCCGCTCAGCAGTAAATGATAAGATAGTTTCATAGCGTTTTGGGGTTCTTGTCTGCATCAACGTATCTTCTGTCACAGACTTGGTGTGATTGAGGAGGAGAGGGAGGAAGATGAGAGGAAGCTAAATGTTGCCATTGCAGCAGCCGAGAGAATGAACATAATGGTAAGCGGAAGGAATGAGCAGATGTTCATTTTATCTCATAATCTATCTCAATATCTTCACTTTTTATGTATTCATATTTTCACATGTCAGTCAAACACAGGTCATGCTGAGTTTGATTTGTTAAATCCTGCTGCTTCAAGGTGAAAAGCATGATTTCAACGAATTCCACTACTTTTTTGGTTCAACGCGAGTTATGATTCTTTGAATCCAAATGAAGGGACCAAGTGTGTTTGGTGCCCTCTTAAATATTTCACCTCCGGTTGAATAAATAATGCATCTTTTCCATAACATGAAGTATTGTTTGGAGAAAACCCTTCTTCGATTGTATACGGTGGTCAAATTGCATTTGGGATGAATATATGTATATGTCTCTTTTCTATGTGTCCACAGGAGGAGCAGTTTGCAGTCCTGCTGAAGGACCTTCAACAACTCAGAGAGGCCAACAGCGGTGGCCAAAACCACACACCGAGTCCTGAAAAGTCACTCATCAACAGCAACTGAATTCCAACAGTAAAAGGATTTAAAGTTGCAGTATAATACATTTGTGAAAATACACACAAAGTCACAGCACCTGTAAGTCTATTTTATGAACAGATTTAGAACAGATTTGAGGAGAATATGATTTGTCTGCATTTCAGCTTTCACTGTATCCAGGCTGCAGATGTGCAACTTGTAAACGTTTTCTGATGAATAAAGGAAATGCTAAAGTTTTTCTCTCAGATCATTTTGTGTTAATATCCACAAACATCAAAGCTTATATGACAAATGATCAATTACCTTTAAGTAACAAAAAAGAAATAAAAAAGAACATATCACACATACATCTTTTTTTTTTTTTAATTCACCAATAGATACAGAATACCTTGGCACCGCTTGAATGTGCAATTCAGTCCTGCATTAAATAGGTCAATAAAAACCATGCAAAATTTCTATTTGATTTGACACTGGTCATCCAGATGGTCATCGGTGAACTTCAGACGGGCCTGGACATGCGCTGGTTTGAGCAGGGGGACCGTGTGTGCGCTGCAGGATTTATGACGGATCGATGACGACGTAGTGTGTTACTAATGGTGTCTTTGAGACTGTGGTGCCGGCTCTGTTTAGGTCATTGACCAGGTCCTGCCGTGTAGTTCTGGGCTGATCCTTCACCTTCCTGATGATCATTGATGATCTTCATAAAAGATGTCACCTCGTGACATCTTGCATGGAGCCCCAGACCGAGGGAGATTGACTGTCATCTTGAACTTCTTCCATTTTCTAATAATTGCGCCAACAGTTGTTGCCTTCTCACCAAGCTGCTGGCCGATTGTGCCTGTTATATTATGGTGCTTTGTGCTGAAACAGAGTCTAAACTGATGGACAATGTTGAGCCTCACGTCGAATTTATAATGTGAAGATGTTTCCATTTGCATTTCCTCCGCACAAATGGGCTAGTATAGAATTTTGTGGTGGACTATTGTTAAAAAAACATGATACCTTTTTATAAATGGTTGGCTACTTTGTTGATTTTCTATTCATTTATTTTTTTGACTAGAGAATTGTAACAGAGTCCTGTAAAGTATATTACATTTTTAAAAGTTGTTGAAACATCTGTCGTTTTTGTCCATTGAGTTATTTTCTAAATCCAAATATCCTGACCTGATTGTATTACCATTTGATCTGTTTTTCTGTCATTTCAAACAGCTACGTCACGTTTGAGGCACATGCTCACTCGTCACTGGACAAAGCGGCACCGCGCATGCGCGAGTTGACGTGGCTCTCGGGTCACGTCCAAAGAGTAGCATAGCAGAGGACTATAGAAAAAATATCCGCGCCAGGAAGTAGAGTAAAATCTCCGTTTATATACTAACATATCTGTACAGGTGTAAGTTAAGACTAGATCGTCCGAGCAATTCACCCGAGGATTTAAGGTACGGTAAGATTTATATGTGTTCATACTTGACTAACAACTAACGCCATATTATTATTTCCGAGCGCCTTCTCCGTGTTTTGATGTCATTCCTGGTCAACGAAAAAGTGAATGCGGAAGTCGGCGTCGCGCTGAATTCCCAAACGTCGTCTTAAGAACTGCTGCTTAACACCGTCAAATCTAACGTTACCACACAGTTATTTTGCGAACATGACAAACTGGAGAAAACGTCGATACTAAGAATTGTTCCCTTTCGTATCGCGTAGCTCTTTACTTTCGTTTTCCTGGAGCTCCAGAGTTAAGTTTCGTTTCTCCCCCCTGCCCCTCCCCTTCTCCCTCCGCAGCCTCACCTGACTCTTCCTCATGGCCGAGATGGACGCGGGTCCCTTTTCCCTGATGAGCCTGGAGGACGAGCTGACCTGCAGCATCTGTCTGAGTCCCTTCGAGTGTCCCGTGACCATCCCCTGCGGACACAACTTCTGCCAGGACTGCCTGCTCGCCACCTGGAAGGACTCCTACAGCTGCCCTCAGTGTCGCACCCTCTTCCCCAGCAGACCGGACCTGAAGAAGAACACGGTCCTCAGCACCGTGGTGGAGACCTTCAACCTGAGGACCAGCAAGAGCGCGACCGGCCCGCCGGCGAAGGAGAAGGAGGAATGCGGGGTCGGGGAGCAGGAGGCCATACGCTGCGATACGTGCATGCAGGCGGAGGCGACGCACACCTGCCTCACCTGCATGGCGTCTTTCTGCGAGGAGCACCTGCGTCCTCACCGGGACAACCCAACGTTTAGGCTCCACCAGCTGAGTCAGCCCATCGGAGACCTGTCGGAGCGGATCTGCCCGGACCACCACAAGCTGATGGAGCTCTTCTGCAGCCAACACGGCCGCCCCATCTGCAGCCTCTGCCTGCAGCAGGTGCACAAAGGCTGCTCCTTCACGTCCCCCGAGGAGCAGAGGAACATCATAGAGGTGTGCTCCGTATGTGCGTGTGTTTGTGCCAGATCTGTCCGTTTAAAATCAATCTTATTTAATTGTATTAATCTATGGACAAGACTAGTCAGATCAGTGGATTTTTTAGGAGGTAAGTCCACCCCCACAGGATTCATTGTTGTGAGTAGTTGCAAAAGACTACTTTTCTTATAGAAAATATTTACTGTCAAGTACAGTTTTTTTCTTGTAGTCCTGTGTGGGTTTTCAAAAGCAATTTACGGGCTTATTGGTTATAGAAATTCTCTTATTATGTGAGATTTGACCAGAGAGGAGACGTGCTTAGTATTGTGGGCATGATTGCTTTGTGCCTTTTAAACTGAAGTTAGCATTTAACCCCAAAAATGTGCAAAATTAACCCTGATTGTTTGTATCCATCTGTGATAATTGAATGACTCATCTTTCTCTGTTTCTAGTCCGACCTGAGGAACAAAATGGATTTGCTTGATGGGAAGATCACAAAGAATGAAAATGTCATACTTCAAATAGAGGTCATGCAGAACAAGCTAAAGGTAACTCAAAATGTAACCTGTACAGGCAATTCACACAAATAGTACCCATAGTTTTTAACTATTTAAATTATTATTATTTTAAATTAATTAATGAGGGTTTTTAAATGTGTGTTTACCTGACTTTACCTATTTTTGGATCTTCTCACCATTGTCCACAAGGACTCCGCGACCAACAGGAAGACGGCTTTGGCAGCTGAGTATCGGCATATGCGGGACATGTTGTCACGAGATGAGCACGAGGCTGTGAATTCGGTGGACCGCGAGCTGGAGGGCGGTCAGACCAAACTCAAGGGTCTCGCAAAGAAGTTCTCCGAGAACTTAGTGAGCATGAGCAAAGCCAAGGAAGAGATCCACAGTCTGCTGAGTCAGTGCCACACTCAGTCCTTCCTACAGGTGAGACCACGCGCATTACCAACGCGGACGCTGATGTTCAAAATGTGAAAAGTGACAAAAAATGCCCAAATTTGAATGAAACGTTTTTGGTCTTGTTTTTTTTAAAGCTGTGGTATGCGGCACTTATCCGTAGTTCATGTTTTAGGTAGTGCTGTCAGTTAAACGCGTTATTAACGGCATTAACACAAACCCATTTTAACGGCGTCAATTATTTTCTCGCGAGATTAACTTTATTTATTTTTTTATTTATGTTGTGACACAGCTACTTGATCCTGTTTGAGGGACAGTCCTACAAATGTCACTCACAAAACATGTAGAAAAGAAAACAAATCCAGCACCCCTCATTCGTCTTGTAGTAAAAATTCCCACCAGCACGACAGCATACCAACATATGATCGTCTATTAAATTCATTTTCATCAACATGTAAATCGTTTTTTTCCAAGTACATACAAAACCCTAACCCTTTACCTGAGATGGGCACTTTCTGATTTTATTTTGTATATAAATAAATAAAATAAAAAAACAGTTGCATAAAGAAAGCCAATGCACTTTTCCATGTTGATAAGAGCAATAAAATGAAAAAAAATTCTGGAAAAAGATAAATGAAGGGACATTTAGAATAGATACAAATTTAATTGTGATTCATTTTGAGTTAACTATGACAAAAATGTGATTAATCGTGATTAAATATTTAAATCGCTTGACGGAACAATTTTAAGTACCGCTGTGGAAAGTAATACCCACATAAACAATGCTAATATCAGCAAAAGTGTACGATATATTGGGGGCCCCTACATTCAAACTAAAGTACCTTATATTGCGTCCACAACAGAAAATCTCACCTTAATTTGTCCTATCAAGAAAACATCTATGTGTCGCTCTATTCTCAGGCTTCATTTACCCTGCCCCAAGCTGCGACCTTTGAACCTTTCACCCCGCGAATCAACATAGACTCCAAGAAAGTGACAGCAACACAGGCCTTTACTGCTCTCCTGAAGGAGCACCTGACCGAGATCCTCAAACAGCCTGTTGAGGCCAGACCGCTGATGCTCAAACCAGGTGAAGGTGCGCGTACATTTTCAGTGAGAGATCCTCCTAAAATAAAATACTGTTCCCACATTGTAATGTTCTTGAGGGAGAGACTCCAGTAGCTCCACCTCTGTAGTATCGTAACTTACTCAGTGTGAATCGCTATGTGAATCCAGTCCGCTTATCATTCGCAGATGAAAAAGCAGTTCCTGGCTCAGCACCTGCAAGTTCTGGATCTCAGCCAGAATCTGGTATATTCATATTATAAAATATCTGCCTATTTGTATGATAAACATTCACGCCCGTTCCTGCACAACTTTATGGGGTCCCAGAAAAAAAATTACATTTATAAAGTTTTGATAAAATGCCTTCAAGCATCTGACAAAATGTGTCCTTGTTTCACCTCAACTGTTTCAGAAGTAACCAAGCACCCGAAGCAGAAAAGACCGCCGAGGTCCCACAGTCCAGGTCGTCCACCCATCCAGCCATCATTCCAGTCAGTTCGTATGCCTTACATGGAGCCACATAGAGGCTGGATTCCACCTCAGCATCCACCAGGCCCTTATATGGATCCCCATTTTATGGCACGACAAAGGACAAGTAAGATATGATTATACGATCACACACTAGATAAGCTGACAGCGACACAGAACACACCAATCTGCACTGTGGTTGTACGACTTACATTACATTCATTCATCCGTGGGGACATTTTACCATTCAAGATGCATTGAAAACGTACAGTGAAGCCATTCATGTCCCATTTTGTTGCAGATATTGACAGTGGCATTCATGGTGAGTTGACTTATAGTGGAATCAGAAATGAAAGTACAACTTAACATAACTAATCTTACATTATTCCTCAAATTGATTCGTCGTTGTGTGGTGGTTGGTTTGGTTGTAAGTTGTAAGTCGCTTTGGATAAAAGCCTCAGCTAAATGACCTGTAATGTAATATAATGGTTGGCGTAACCTTTTATTCATTCCAAACAAATCATTAAAAGACTAATAAAATGCACATGTGACACATTCTCGGGAGCTTATAAGGAAGTTTTGACTGTTAACAGCTCATCTGGTATGTTCACCTGTTCAACTAAAAATGCGTTCCGACACAAGTAAAATAAAAGTGATTTTATTCCACGTTAGTGTTCATCAATAACTCACTCACTTCTTCCCCCTCAGATCCACAATGGATGGGTCCAGGTCCCCAAACCAAACCAGCCACAAAGAAGAAACCTCAAAGTAAGTAAATGTATTCATTATAATACTAATTGGTAACAATTAGTTATTTACCCCATCCACCCCCAATTGGTAATTGGGGGTGGATGGGGTAAATATCTTAAGCAGTAGGCAGAGCACAACAATTTGATAAAGAAAAGCTTACGAGCTGAAAGTCCTCAGGTGGGCCGGAAACAGCAGTAAGCAAATCCATTGAGGCGAATCACGAGAAAATAAACTGGCAACGCAACAGGGAGACCTTAGAGACTGAATACACATAGACGGCAGGGTGAGGAGACACGTGTGGAACGAATCAGGGCAGGAAAGACAATCACACGGCGGGAAAAACCAAAGGCAGCCAGTAAAACCAGAGAGGAGTCATAAGGCGATATCAGAAAATCAAACATGAAATACTAAACGTGACAAACAAACGTGCATTGCTGTGCACTTTTAAACTTTTTAACAATTAACACTCCTACACCTGTTTGTATGTGAAGGCCGCTTAATGTACTATTCAAATAAATGTTTTTGTAATACATTGAAATGCAATGCAAAATTGCAATGAGTTGCACATTTTATTCAAAAAGAGGTCTAATATTGAAATGAGGTTATTATCTGCACTCAGATGCACTTATAATGAATTCAATGATCAGATTAGAACTGAAAGAAGTGGATGGAGTGTCTCTTCTATTACTCCCAATGTTACCTTCATGACTTTTACACGTTTTTAGGTGTTAATTCAATTTAATGGTCATTTTGGACAATAGTTTTGGTGCTATTGAACTCTATTGCAATATACTGTGACATATTTCTAATATTCTGTTCACCCTTTTTATATCGATGAGGGAAGAGTGTTTTTGTAATGTGTTATTGCCTCCACTCTGTCATTGTTTGTAAAAGAGTTTTAATGAACGTATGTTGGTTGCACTTAACTGATTCTCAAAATGATCATTGCAGCTACATGACAATGGTACTATATGTTTCATCTTTTCAGAACAAAAGCCTCCCAAACCCACAGAACCCAATATGGGGAAAGGGAATCAAAACGCTTCAATGGAGAACCTGCTGGACTTCAATGCGAAAGACATATCCAAAGACCTTACTCCTGCAGCTGAGTCCGACGAGACGCCAGGTAGACACCATCATATTCAGTACTCCACTGATTGTCTATTGCTACGGAGTCGTGATGGAGAGTAATATGTATATATGTCTGGTTAGAAAATGATTTTCTGTGTTCTGTTGCAGAAACGTGTGACGTTCCCCCGAACATAACATCAGCCGAAAAGAGGAGCGAGCTCCTGAAATGTAAGTGAAGGAGCGCAGCATGTGACTTCCCGCCCCAGCGTCCCTCCCTTTTGAATGGTCTTTTTGTCCACTGCCCCCTCTCAGATAGTTCAGTGCTAACTTTGGATCCGAAGACGGCCCACAAACGCATCGTGCTGAGCGAGGGCTTCACAAAGGCCTCTGTGTCTGACGAACCCACAAACTACCCCGACTCCCCCGAGCGCTTCTCCGTCTGCTCCCAAGTGCTGGCCTCCAAGGGTTTCTCCAGAGGACGCCACTACTGGGAGGTCAAGCTGAGCAGCAACAACTTCATCGGCATCGGCTTGGCTTACAGCAGCATTGACCGCAAAGGTCCCACCAGTCGCCTGGGCCGCAACGCCCAGTCCTGGTGCGTTGAGTGGTTCAACGTCAAGCTGTCCGCTTGGTACAACAGCAGCGAGACCGTGCTGGTCAGCGGCAATCCAAAGCGCGTGGGCGTGCTGTTGGATTGCGAGGAGGGTACGGCCACGTTCTACAACGTGGCCGACAGGGCGTACCCCTTCCACTCCTTTGTCTTCCCCTTCGCGGAAGCCGTGTATCCGGCTTTCTGGCTTTTCTCCAGCGGCTCGTCGGCTTCTTTGTGCAAGCTGCAGGCATGAAGAGCAGCAGGTGTACGCCGATGGCGCGAATGATGATAATCCACACTATCGGTGATTAATGATGTGGGATTGTCTTTTAATTAAAATAAGGAGTGTCATGAAGGCAGCTTTTCAAAACACAGGAAAAGCAATATACAATAATCTGCAGCAATATACTGTAGTTTACAGAATAATCCAGCAGATAAACTGCAAATTAAAGGATTAGGACATGTATTCATGTCCCAATTACTTAATTAATATTATTATTATGACCACACATAATGCATACTGTACACTAATTGTACAGTATGTTTGTGACTTGTGTGTCTCCTGTATTTTCAATGTGACTGGAAAAAGAAGTGAATAAATGATGTCACTCTCCAGCATATTTTGATGCAGCAATTTGAAGGGAAAATGATTGTTTGGATGACTGATTTGGAGCGTCACTCGTAAAGTTATGGGGCTGGTTGATGTGCCAAAAGCGCTAGAGATCAGGATATGGATCATTTCAAGTAACCCAAAAAATGTACTACGCTCGCTCATTCCAACTTTTAATAGCAAACAATACTTAACCATCCATGTTAACACGAGTTAACATGGACTGCCATGCAATTGGCTAGACACAGATTTCTTTCTGTGACATGTGCTGAGTAGCAACTCCTCTGGTGATCGCGATGTGCCGTTACCAGAGTGCATGAAGCATTAAGTTGTCAAATGTAGCTTATTTACTCTGCTCTGGCTCTTGTAACATCACTGCTCATTTTAGTAGTTGCCCCGTCCGTAAATGCACCCGACGAGACAACGTATTAAAACATCGTCGAAGTATTGTTCGCATCAACTAACCCTATATCTTTACTGCCTCATCTGGCTAATGAGAAGTCATATAGACAAACTCCAGGCAGTCTTTCTCTTATTTATCTGATTGGCACATTAAACCCAAAAGCAATCAGAGCGCTCTGTTGGCTTGTCGCACAGTGGTGGAAGGGTAGTTGGAAATATATATTCACTGGGATTGTTTGTTGGGTGATTTATTCCGGCTTGTAATATGATGTTTCACCACGATGGCACTCTGCTAAAAGGTGCGAAACAACATTCTGTGCGGACATCAAGCAGTAGAGATCTGTCTGCACAACATCCGGCATATTAACCGTGATGTTGTTTGAACATCTGTTTGTTGTTCCAGTGGTTCAACTGACCTCACTGTGTTTGAGGTGTTCAGGAGACACTGGTGTCCGGGGGGACTTTACTGAACCTGGTAAAGGTTCGGGCGTGTTGACTACTGCATTGAACTGTTGGTTAAGTTTAAATATTCCTGTGAGGTATTACAGGCAATGCACTTTGAGTACGGACCTTCATCCTCATGTTGCATGAGAATATTTGAAGGTGCGGTACATCACTGCATGTGAAGTCTGTGCTTGTATAGTGAAATCTACTGTTTTCACACAATTAGAGAGTTGTGGTTCTGGAACAAAAATCTTTTCCCATACTTCAGTGAGTGTTGACACTGGTTTGTTCCGACCACCATGCCTAAATGGCATAACGGGCCCTTACTTTGCTTCGCTTAGTGTGGGAAATGAAGTTGAGTTCATTAAACATGTGACTTTATTACTTTTGCCCTCTACTTTAAGCTAATAATATGTGTGGTACATCATCTGCAGACCGCAGTGGCTAGCAGATCAATATGTTTGTTTGCTGGTCCTCAACTAAAATGAAGTGTATTGGTCTTTGCATCTACTATTTCTAAGGTTACCATTACTTTGGATTGTACCCAAACTGCATGCTGTAATTTGTGTTGAACCAATTATTAATAAAATATACTCTCTCTCTGTCACTGTTTGTTTTTCATTTTAAGAAGTCGTTTAAGGAGACGTCCAATATTGTTTCCCCTCATACGTCAGCATCCACATCAACCCCTTCTCTGGGTCCACAACACAAATACCAAGTCTCTGATTTTTCCCGGCACACTCAGTTTTTAATTTTCCCTCATAGTTACCACTTGGTGTCTCAAGTACTTTACCCCCTTTTCTAATCACAGCCTGTTTCACGCATAAGCCACATCTTCACCATGACATGTGTTTCCTGCAGAAGAGAGCTATCACAATGCTGTTTGAGTTGTACACACACACACATGTGTGTATATATATATATATACACAGAAAATTCCAGAGTTAAATTGACTTTGTGAGTCTCAATTTGAACTCTAAGCTGGTATTTCTATTGTCCCAATCTTGTCAGTGTTAAATCAACACTCAACGAAGTGCCAACAAGTTAACTCTTAAGTGTCAAAAATAAATCTGCCTGGTGTTAAATACATTACAGGTCATTTAGCTGACACGTTTATCCAAAGCAACTTACATTGCATTTTAACCCATGTTTTTTTTACATTTCAGCCTGAGGAGCAATTAGGGGTGAAGTGTCTTGCTCAGGGACACTTTGACATGGAGCAGCCAGGATTTTAACCATTAACCTTGAGGTTCCTGGCTCACCTACTCTATGCGCCACAATACCAGAGTTAAACCAAAAACCAAGAAGGGTGACACCGTACAGTTACATTTCAAGCCAATCAAAGACTTAATTCAACTTTGCTGTGTCGCAAATGAATCTGATCTTGAAACTGGATAATGACTCCAGCTCTTACGTACAATTGACTCTAAGAGTTGAATCAACTTTTTGCAGTGTGATTTCAACTCTGCACTTCAACACTTTTGCCTAACACCGGAATGTGTGTATATATATATATATATATATATATATATATATGTATATGTATGTATATATATATATATATATATATATATATATGTATATGTATGTATATATATATATATGTGTATATATATGTATATGTATATATACCCGCTATACACACACAAATTGATATAGATATCATTAATTTTTTTAATAATTCATATGAATAGTTTGCTGTCAGATGTGGTTTAAGATTATAAAGTTACATCATTGGAAAGAGAGAGAGAGGCAGAGAGAGAATTCGCTGCGTCACACTTCCTGAGGTAACACACACACACACACACACACACACACACACACACACACACACACACACACAGGAATCCACGCCAGTGAGCACCAGCTCACAGCACCAGCTCAAAGGTACGTGTTGGTAATTAATATAAAAGATATTAAAGAACGACATTGTCAGTTGGTGGATTGTATGTGGATGTGTGAGCTCGGGGGAAAGAAAGTTTCGATAAGGAAATAGCGGGGGAAAAGCTTGGGAGGTTAAGTTTCGTTTCTCCTCCCGCAGCCGCACCTGACTCTCACCTGACTCTTCCTCATGGCCGAAATGGACGCGGGTCCCTTTTCCCTGATGAGCCTGGAGGACGAGCTGACCTGCAGCATCTGTCTGAGTCCCTTCGAGTGTCCCGTGACCATCCCCTGCGGACACAACTTCTGCCAGGACTGCCTGCTCGCCACCTGGAAGGACTCCTACAGCTGCCCTCAGTGTCGCACCCTCTTCCCCAGCAGACCGGACCTGAAGAAGAACACGGTCCTCAGCACCGTGGTGGAGACCTTCAACCTGAGGACCAGCAAGAGCGCGACCGGCCCGCCGGCGAAGGAGGAGGAGGAATGCGGGGTCGGGGAGCAGGAGGCCATACGCTGCGATACGTGCATGCAGGCGGAGGCGACGCACACCTGCCTCACCTGCATGGCGTCTTTCTGCGAGGAGCACCTGCGTCCTCACCGGGACAACCCGACGTTTAGGCTCCACCAGCTGAGTCAGCCCATCGGAGACCTGTCGGAGCGGATCTGCCCGGACCACCACAAGCTGATGGAGCTCTTCTGCAGCCAACACGGCCGCCCCATCTGCAGCCTCTGCCTGCAGCAGGTGCACAAAGGCTGCTCCTTCACGTCCCCCGAGGAGCAGAGGAACATCATAGAGGTGTGCTCGTACTTGAATATCTTACTCTGTGGGGACCAAGCGTAATTTTTCCACGTTCAAATGGAGGACATTCTGTCCCCGTCCTCACCAAAGGCTCACTTTGAGATGCTGGTTCGCTTTCTTGCTCAGAGTTAGAGAAGAAGATTTGTACATGTTAAATACAGGAGCAAGCAGCTCTGTCCAAACAAGTTATAACCGTTTGATTAGTGAGCCTTGGAGATGTTTCTTTGGACAGAGGCAGTCTGGTGTATCAGTGTTTTCTGACTTTAGCTAAGCCAGGGTCGCTGTGGGCTCCTCCTACTCTAATAGCAACTTCACAGACATGGGACGGATACCAATGTTGCAGCAAACTAAATAAACGTATAAGTTAACTTTATAAATGAACAATAGGGAAATATATTACTACGATTTCAGGTATTTGAGACTACTGCAGAGGGCTGTTGATATGTTGCACCAAAACTTAAACTCAATTGTCCGTCTACTGAAGCTATATGTTCCATACGTGTCTTCGTAGCTTGGCCTGAGAGACAAGTTGGGTTTGCTGGATGGGAACATTGAGAAGACTGTGAGTGCTGTGTTTCAAATAAAAGACCAGCAGAGCAAGCTGAAGGTAATTTTCATCTTTTACATTTTCTTTACAAAAACAGCAAACAAACCATTTGTTATTCATTTACCAAAAGCAAACGACAATTCACAGTTTGGGCCTCATGTTCATGCATTTATTCTCATGGCTGCTCTCATGTTCTCTTTTCTAGGACGCAGCAACCAAGAGGAAGGCGACATTGGCGGCTGTGCATCACCAGATGCGGGATATGTTGGACCAAGAAGAACGCCAGGCCCAGCGTGACGTGGACCTCGAGCTGGACCTTTGCCAGATCAAACTCCGCGACCACATGAAGAGGTTGACCGACAACACTGCCAAAATGACAAAAGCCAAAGAACAAATCAACGCCCTGCTGAGTCAATCCCAATCCTTGGCTTTTCTACAGGTGGGATGAAGAGGAAGAAGAGATGGAAATTGACATTGAGCCTAAAGCCAAATGAGACAGAATAGACTAGCAGAGAAGCAAGTAACTATTAAAATGTGAACTGTTCTCATGTCATTTCCCTTTCAGGCTACCTTTGACTTCAATGCCAATAAGTTTAACAACCCTTCTGTGCCTCGAATCAACCTGGACTCCAAGAAAGTGACAGCAACACAGGCCTTTACTGCTCTCCTGAAGGAGCACCTGACAGAGATCCTCAAACAGCCCGTTGAGGCCAGACTTGTCATGCTTAAACCAGGTGAATGTGCACGTAGACTTTTAGTGGGAGATGTTACAAAATGAAATGAATCCAATGAAATTACAACGAAGCTAATCCCGTCCAACTGTGTTGCAGAACTCAACCCAAGCTTTGTTGCATCTGGTGAGTTTTTGCCGTACTGGAGAACAAATGTTGATTTTCTTAACCCTGTTTAAAGTGGTGTGGGAATGCTTTGCATGTGTTTCTGAGATGTTCTATTTGTAATCCACTTACCGTTCATAGATAAAAAGGGAGTTCCTGTCTCAGCACCTGCAAGTACTGGATCTCAACCTGAATCAGGTACATTAATCTTTATGCAGGTTTTGTCTAAATATAGCACTGCTTACTGTTGTAAACATCATTTCTGCCTAACATTCACATACTTGTCTGAACAGTATTTAAGTCACAGAAAATAATAATATATAAATGTTTATATAATATGAAGGTACTTTATATGTTTGCCTGTGCACTTATTTTAATTGTATATTATTCGCTTTTCTTTTGTAAATAGAATATTCCGATTTCTTGCACTATGTACATTTTTCCAATGTACCACGCGCCATGACAAATTCCTTTTATGCCCAACATACTTGGCAGATAAATGGTCATGAGATTTTCTTCTAAAACTATCCTCTCCTTTCACTCGCTGCGTTTCAGAAGTGACCAAGCCCCCACGGCGGCCGCCCAGTCCACGCCGCCGACTCATCAAGCCCGAAATCCAGCCAGTTCCCGGACCAGTTTATTCTTACGTGGGGTTACAACCAGGTTGGAACACACCTCAGTATCTCCACGGCCAGCAACAGAGATTTTGTGTGCCCCCCCATATATGGGGGGACAACCAACGAGTAAGACATCAAAAAGCACCACACAGACACACACACACACACACAACAGAAATGTGACTCTGGGACACTGGTTGTATGACTTTTCCTCTTTCAACATATGCCATTGTATATATACACACACTTATTCTGATTTCTAAAGGCGTCATCCGTCAGTATTTACCATGAAGGTGGAGGCCTAGTAGATACGTAGATGAGTTTCTTTTTCTTGGGTGCGATAAAAGCGTGGACATTGGACTGCTGGTAGATATTGTAATAAAAAGGAACTCTTTAAATGTAGGCAAGGCAATGAAATTAAGAACAGATCCGGGTGTATAAACTAGCAATAATGATCGCGAACACAAATATAACAGTGAAGATGAAGGAACAACACTGAGATAACACGGTGGCCAAAAACACAATAGTGCAACATTGATGGACTGAGGCTGCGATGCCGGAGTCGAATGGCCACGTGCGTGCACATCAATACCTGTTCATCCTGTGACGGCCCTTTAGAAGTTGTGTCCGCAGGGGATGGTCACCGGACACTCGAAGGGAATCTTCTACAAAACTTGATAAAATGTTTATTTGAGGAAAAAAAACGAGAAGTTTGACTAGAATGACTTTCGCAATATGGACAGATTGAAACCCTGTTGTGTATTTTCCTTTCAGAAAAAGAAAGAAGGCTCCCCCAACGCTCAAGGAGGAAATATGCCAAGTGGATTTAACTCCAATCGATTCTGATAAAAACGATTAAGACACCATTCATCGCCAAAAAATAACTAACACTACAAAATGTCTTGAACATCCAAGACACACATACACAAAGCTAGCCTTTGTTGTTTATTTGCATTACTTCATCAGCTGCTCTGAAATAAACATCTTCGGTCAGCATCTGTTACATGATTAACACATTCCAATATAATGATGTCACTGCTTTATTCTTCTTATTGTGCTTTACGGGTGCTGTGATCTCCGACTAGGGATCGTGGGAGCAGTTTCCCCGCTCAAAATCTTCAGAAAATGTATAATATCACAAATAAAAACACAGACATGTCGCTTATTTATGAAAATATTTATGGGAATGTCTTCAAATTGAAAAGATCGCTTCATTACATTCAAGTCAATCAAAATTGTTTTATGTCACCAACAATTTCACTGAGCCTTCTTTATGAGTATTTTTGTAAAACTGCAATGATTTACATGATTGTTCCCAATAAAACGTTATTCTCTTACCTTTTATTCTTATTTTTTTTAAGCAGAGGCCACATAAGGACCATATTGTGGTCAAAGTAAAAGGTTTTCTGTTTCTGCACATTCTTATCAGCTTTTAGGGTTCTCTAATCTCTACAGTTATTTAGCTATAAAAGAAATAAGCATATTCAAATATATATGTATATATATTAACTAATAAAGTATTTAGGTACACAACACAGTGAAATTTGTCTATACAAATACAGTTCTCTATCTGCTCAAATGTAACAAATAATTAACTAACAGGATTGAATGGGAAACATTCCAAACAACCAGTAACATCACAGTCATGTTGCTCCACCCTCAACACAAAAAACAACTTAAAGGCCTTTAGCCACACTAGCAAATATCTGGAGTGTAATCAGTGACGCCAAAAGAAACACATTTGTCGGATGGTTTAAAAATGGAGAGAGCACATTGGTATTGTTACATCCTTAACACTGGCATTGTTACCTAAATCCTTTCAATCAGCGCGCGTTGTCAACTCTCATCAGATCAAAGCTCGTACCACATTCGCCCTCTCGGTAGCTCCATTTCGGTCTAGAAGATCGATCGGCGAAACATTGGCCATCGGTAGTTTGATCCACCCGCAATCTGCAAAATCCCGCCCTGCACTGTGATTGGAAAGTACTAAAGTACTAGAATTAAAGTACTCATTGACCCGCAGAATGCAGGTTGGAAAAAATAACACAAGTAAAGATTTAAGATGAACCTCTCCGATGGAGAGGTTTCCATAAAGATGGATGCTTTCTTGTCATAACCTTTATTACATTTATTATCACGTTATTGAAAGTATGCAAAAATGACTTTTTTGAAAACGGAGACCATTATTTGTTAATTCTGTGCTAGGCATGTGACCAAAACAGGGAAGCCATAAAGCCAATATCTATGAGTAACACCTTATGCTGTTTGGTAATCAACACATGTATTCAGGTCCAACTCTTGCTGGAGTTAGAGGCCAGTACGCCATCATATGCTGTCAGAAGTACAGCAAGGATATTGTGCATTTAGGATTTAGGATGCTGGCATGCTCTCTAGCGTTTCCCTCAAACAACAGCTGCAGTTGAGAGAAATCCGGTTAGTAATTCCATCCAACAGAATCACTAAGGTTCATTTTTAGGCATCAAATGTACTAAATAGCCACACAATTCCATAAAACCACTACTGAGGTATTTCCCTCTAAAAACAGTGTGTGTAACTAGAGCAACGCTGCGAGAACCTGACAATGAACCCCAGTTACATTTAAGCGTTTAAGCCGATTCAGTGCAACACAACACACAACTCTGGTAAACATGGACGGTAAGGTCAAAGGTCAAACGGGTGTCCTAGAGCAAAAAGACGTCCGCCAAACAAATAGAGGGCGATGGCACCACAAGGCTTCCAGAAGCAGTCCTGGGCTAACAAGTGATCAGTGTCCCCCAAGCAGCACACAGAGAAGCACGAGCAACTTACTGATGGAGTTTTAAAACTGTAGCAGTTAAGGAGGAAATCTACGACTATAATACTGTCTTCAGTCTGCCACCTGGTGGGGGCCACTCGGTAAACCACAAATTGTGAAATGCAAGAGGATTACGTGAAGAACATAAGACGACAACACGAGGCAGCTTATTCTCAACAGCGGTCATCACTCGGCAGCGACCTCAAGTAGGCGGCATTACGGTTTGATTATACGACCTGCATCCTACGCAGCGTGCGGCATCCATCAGTAGACGTGCCAAAACAGTGCAACACAAAATATGTAAACAGGGAGAAAAGCCTGAAGAAAAAGGAAAAAAAAAAAGTTTTACGACTAGGCGTAACCAAATCGTCCGAACAAGTTACTTGGCAGCACTTTCAAAATAAAGTCAGGCTGTTTCCTCTTACAGGAAAACTACTTTTCAAGACTGCATCTTGGTACAATCTAGCAGTTTGGTGAGCTGATTAAGACGCACGACATGTCCAGTGATTAACAGCACACTGCTGTGGTAGTAGAGCCCTTGCTCCTTCAGAATAAGAGACGAAATGGCTTTCACACACATTCCTCCAACTCTCGACTTGACGAATGCAACAGACACGTGATAAACCAAAATCCATGCGTGATTTGGACCCTGAAGGGGGAATTTAACAAGATATTCTGAGCCGATTAACATCACGCACACAAAATGATCTTCCAGCCATTGCTTGTGCTCTTCTCTGGAATAAAAGCAATAAAGCTATGGATGCGTCTTTGTAAAAACGGTTAAACAAATGAATGCTTCATCACTTTCTGTGATAGACATGGCTTTGTGGGGGGTTTGGTAAATGGAGACTGGCTCACAGATACCCGCAGGGATACACTGGTCATTCGATTGTATACACAGCACAATAAATATAGTATTACAGTTGACTATAGATGGCTATGGCACAAGGGATCAGTGCAAATAAATGGCAAATTTCACACAAGCATTCACCTCCTCCTGAATGTCTCAACTGTAGAAGAGGGAACTGCCTGAGCTCTGGCTCACAATATATGGAAAGACCAATAAAACCAGCCAATTTCCAAACTCCCCTTCTTTACCCCAGCGAGCTCTCTGAACACAAATTAAACATTTTAACACTTCTTATCAATGTGTTTGGAGGATAAAGTGTGTTCAAAGGTCTTTCAGCGGAGGGATTAAAATAAACCGGGCTGTAAAACAGAAAAAATATAAGACTCAAACCAGAGGACATTCGAGCGCACGATGTTCCGGGGGCCGGCTCACGCCCGAGCGGAGGCGGGCCCCGGGGGCCTGGGGGAGTCATGGGGGGTGGGGCTCTCGGCCTCAGAGGCGCTGGATTCGTCTTCGTCATCGTCCGTCTGCTCAGCGCTGTGGTACAGCATGAGGGCCTGGGTCTTATGGGTGATGGTGATGGTGCAGGGACCCTGAGCCCACGGCTCCCCGTCCACCTGCATGGGCATCTTGGAGCTCTTGAGAAGAAGCTGGAGAGGGAGAGATGACCCCGAAACTTGAATGTGATGAACTGTGTCAATGCCGCTCACCACCCGGTGCCCACGGTGGCTCGTTCTATGTGTTCATTTGTTGCTGGTTTGCCATTTTGACATACGTAAGAAAGAAGCGCAACACTGGACTTCTATATTTTTATGTAAGGCTTAAATACCAAAATGTGTGATGTTTTAATCTGATAAATTCCAACAAATGCGTAATAACAAATACAAACTTTCTTTCTTCTAACCTTGACTTTGTGTTCTCCCACAACAAACCTTCACCCTTGGTTTAAATGATTGATTTCAATAACCATATACATAGAGTAACTATGTAAAATATTCCAGATGTATGCAAATGATTTCCTTGATGTGCTTCCTGTGGTTGTCATAGTGACACTCAGGCTGCAGTGTGGAAACAAGACAGGATATAAGAACATGTAGGAGCCGAGTCGGCTCGATTGATCCCATTAGTTTAAAGTCAGATCCTCAAGTGCACTGATGAAGCAAATGGCAATGAAAACTCATTTGACTCCCTCATTGATTTTCTCCACTAATTGCGATAAACAGGAAGCCTTGTGGCAGAACCGTATGTGTGCGGGTGTGTATGCATGTATGCATGCATGTGAACCATTGACCCACCCTGACAGTGTGGGCCTGTCCCAGCCGTACAGGATTGGCCAGCTTGACCTGGATCTGAGCACAGTGGAAGGAGCCAAACACACCCACCACCTCCAGCAGACCATCATCCAGCCTGCAGGGGCGGAAAACATCGCCGATATGTACATAATCTCTGATTTGTAATAATTAAGTTGTCACTGTGATGTTTGTAGCGAGTCTTACCGTGTGGGCGCACAGGGTTCATCCCCCATACCCTCCCACAGTCTGCAGCCTCCACCCCAATAGCCAATGTTACAAACTATGATCCCCTCCAGGCTGGGCAGCGCCACACTCTCCCCATCCAACTCCAGCTGTGGCAGGAACACACACACACACACACACACACACACACACACACACACACACACACACACACACACACACACACAAAGAGTCACCTCGATGAAGAAGTCTCATCCTTCTCCTACTCTGCCCTGGAAATATCACATAAATGATTCATAGCACAAGAGTTGCTTTACTGAGCGGAGCACGACTACCAGCTAGCCTTGTTCTCAACTAAATATTTTTAAAATAATACTACCGGCTCTTTAATGGACACATATTTATCAGATGTCCAGTCAAGAAATGTAAAACACAACTCTTATCCCCAAGCAAGCGCAGACAGAATCTGAAATGGCTTTAACTGATTTCTTTCCTCTTCTCTTTGCGTTGCAGCCAAGAAGATGTGAGGAGGCAAGGAAGAGACACAAGGAGAGAGGAGTTGAGACAACATTGCTTCTAGTGAATAGTGAATTTGCTGGCTGATTCTTTCCTTCTCCTCATCAACCACACAGGTGAAAACAGAAGTAACATGAAGCGTCAACACATGCACATGGGTACTGTACCTCGATCCTCTTATCCAGATCCTTACATTCCTGCACTAAACAATCTTTGGTGCCATACAGGAAATATACAGTCTGTGGGCAAAACAAACAGAAGTCAGCATTAATGTAAAGCACTGTTTCTGACCGGGAGAAGGCCTGCGTACTCAGAGGTAAAGCCTTTTGTACGACTACGTTAATACAAACGCAGTCGACATTTGCCCATGACTTATGTGCTCAAATGAAGAGAACAGCTGGACCTTGTTGACGATGCGGCTGGAGAAGAAGGAGGGCGTTTTCTCCCGGTGCGTGTGGAAGTTGAGCGCCATCAGGGCATCGGGCCCCACTGAGAAGTAGTTGTTCATGGACAGGACCTGAGAAGGACGTGCAGTGTCTGTGTTACGTTGTGTGCGGCTCACCGAGTCACGACGCGTCCGCCCAGGGAAGACCAGAACAAGAGGTCCAACTCACCTTTGGTTTACGGAAGTAGAGACCCTTTGAAGCCACCTGCACTTTCCATCTGAAAATGTAGGACATTTTTTAAAAAGGGGACGCACATCGGATCTTCTCACACATCTTCCAGAGCTTCTAGCCTGAGGAACATGCATTTTGTAAGAAAAAACAAACAAACAGTACAATTCAAATTCAGTACTAAACTAAACTGGTCAACTGAAATCATACCAAAGCTTGCATTACTTCACCCACCTGTCCATTTTGACCACCTCTGCATCGAGGATGTTACGGAGGACCTGTTCCACGGGGATCTCCCCAGCGTACCCGGCCCCCCAGCCTAAAGTGTTGGAAAGGTCATTTCCCGTCCCCAGAGGCAGGATGGTCACCCTCGGCACGAACTGGTCCTGGCCCTGACACACCAGAACAGGAGACCGGCAGGTGTGGGCAGAGAAGAAACATCTGCCACATTTTAAAAGAAATCATTCTCACAGCTCCCATCTGACCTTCAGCTTCATAGCGTCGACGGCATCCAGCACCCAGCCCACGGTGCCGTCGCCCCCACACACCAGCACCTGGACGCTGCCGGGGGGCAGAAGGGTGCACAGCTGAAGGGCTTTGGGGGGAGTCAGCTCGGACAGGTCAAACACCTGGAAGAGGAAAGACATGTTTTAAGCGGTATTTCAGAGTCATTTAATGAAATCCTCAAATTTAAGACGACGTGGGAGGAGCTGCAGCCGGACCTGCACGGGATTCAGAATGGTGCGAAACTCTCCCAGCAGAGCCTCCCCCATGTTGTTACCGCTGCGTGTGTTAGCCAACACCAGCACAGGAGTCCAGCCGCTGCCACAGGACGAAGCCAGCTGCAGAAAAACACAAGACGCCGATTAAGAAAAAATCAGAAGAGAGAGAGAAGAAACACACGGAGCACGAGCACACCGAAGCACCTGACTGTACTCCTCGGGGGTCCTGCGGCGGAGCTTGTTGACGCGGTGGAGGTAGTGAGGAGGGATGATGAGGTTGCGAAACTCCCCCAGCTCACACTGGTCGGCCGTCAGGCCGTCCATGCAGTCGTCGTGCACTGTGGTCTGACACCACACACACCTGAAGGCGGAAGGAGGCGCACACACACACACACACACAGACACACAGATTAGAAAAGCATAAAAAGGTACACAAAGGCATTTCCTGCTCCATGAGCCTTTGAAGGGTTGCAGGTGTGTTTCTGACATTGACCTTTGACCTGAGAAGCTTCCCGTAATTATTAGGATTAGAGGTCATTTATCTGACAATATGAGATTAAACACGTGCCCTGCTGTTATCCCAGAGAGCAGCAGCAGTCCATTAGACAAAATGAAAGACAGATTAAAATGAAATGTTGTTGCACCTCATCATGTTGTGAGATGTTTACAAAACAGCCCTGCTTCAGCGTGTCACTGTCATATTATTTTATGTGCCATCGTGTATTCGACAGATTCCTCTCAGCCCTTCTTAGGGGATAAAAGCAAACAACACACACACACACACACACACACACACACACACACACACACACACACACACACACCTGAAGTCGCAGAGCTTCGGCTGGGTCCCGCACTGCTGTTTGCACACCGCACAGTAGCTGGCGAGGGGCACGTTGCCGCGCACCCAGCGGTGCTCCATGGCCCCGGACGGGCCGCAAGGGGGGGCCATGATCTCCTTGCACGTCAGGCTCCGGTCGGCCCGGCGCAGGCACTGCTCGTCGGCGCACACGCCGCAGCAGTCGCAGAAAGCCCCGTGGAGGATGTGCTGGGAGCACACGCAGCAGTAGGTGGGCTTGTGGAACAGGTCCGTGTAGTGCCACCCGTGCTTGCTCTTGCGAAAGAAACCCTTCATGTGCGTTTTCCGCTTGGAGCGTTGGGCGCTGCACCACAGCGTGACGATGACCGGCACGATGACGGCCAGCGTGGTCCACAGCAGGAGCGTCCACTCCTCCCGGGAGCCGCAGTCGTCGTGCGCCTCGTCCCCTTCCTTGGGCATCGCTGCTGCTGCTGCTGCTGGACGGTAGCGAGGATGCTAACGAGCGGAAACCAGGGAGGAGAGGAGGAGCGACGAGGAGCGCACACGGGGCCGCGGGACACCTTTTCCCCGCCACACGCATGCTCGCGGACACTTAACAGCGCGCTGGCATTGAGCTCAACATTGTGTATAATGAATAAAGAGATACAAACAAAGAAGACGGCGATGTGACGTTGACCAAATGCGCTACTGCGCTGCCGTAGCTGTATCAAAGACGATGAAATCTCAAGATAGTTCCGTTCACACGCGGAAGAAAACGGGAATAAGTAGAACTGCGTGCGACGCAGACCACGACCCAACTAGTGGTGAAGGAAGTGTTATAATGTGTAAAAGCATTATTACAACAAATGACATAATAATCCATTATAAATACCAAAAAATAGTTATTCAATGCAGAAAATTGCCCCATGTATATGATTCTAGATGACAATTCGATTGTATTTCACAAGACAGATGATGAGACGATTGATATGAGAAGAACAACAAACGTTTTTACAATTTATTTTAGACATATTCGATGTGTTTCAGGGGTGTTGGACCATTCTTTGCCGTATAATATATGCTTATCATTTGTGTATCATTAGTACGCTAATGTTTGATACTAACACATGCAAATACATTGGTAAAGGCATCGAATATTTAAAAATTGTGCTTTCTTTATTATTGGCTATGGTAACCTCCCCCGTGGCACAATGGAGACAACTACAGCGAACAAGGAAGAGAAGAAACGCCACCTCTCAATATTTATCCTCTCTGATACTGAGCGCCCTGATGTGCAGACCGCTGCTCCGCAGCACGCATGCGCTCTGCGCTGCGTAGTGAGCTAATGACGTTTTAGATAATCACATTGAGGAAATAAAGCTTCTCTATGACCCCGGAATTAACCAAAGGAACATTTTTATTAAATGTCGTACGCCACTGGAAAAAAAAACATTCATAAATTCATAGTTGGCAGCAAAAAGCGGAAACGGAAACAATGACGTGTTGTACTTTTTCCCTTCGCGCGTTCAAGGAAGGGCTTCATTTCAAACTATATATGACAAAAAGCAATAGCATTAAACAATACACGCTGACACTTAGTGTTTAAACATGCAAGGGAATTATTAATTTAATTATATACAGCCGTTATGATCCTTGTTCAGAAAAAAAAAAGTCATTCGAACAGCAAATGACAGTACAAAGAAAATAATAACACACACTTTGCTGTAAACCTACATGACCGGGGCTCCAACACATGGTCACTAATAATAGAACGACGACGAACTAAGAATAGATAGACGTATAGATGGAGCAATGGATGCATAGATGGCGACCAGTCATCATTTAATCAAATTTAAACAGCCTCCAAAGTGCCTCTAATATACATATCAGTGTTTGCATCGCCATCTAGTGGACAACTTTCCATTTGCCTCAATATTCCTCAAACATATGTGCTTCCAATTGTTTCTGGAAAAAAACTATTTCTAGCTTCAGAACTAATATGAATCCTATTTCTATATAAAAATATAATGAGAAATGATAGTTTATTTAAAATATTTCGTCAGTATAGTCGGCATGTAAGAGTCGGTGGGTGACGTGCAGGCGGAGGTGGAGGAGGAGGAGAAAAGGAGGAGAAGGAGAATTTGCCCCTTCACACCCTCTGGACTCTGGTTGGGACCTCAGAACACAGACGCCACAGGCAGCAAAGGGTGAAGATGAAGAAGCTGGTGGGGATTTCGCTCTGCCTGGTGCTGCTGGTGACCATCTACACAGGTAGGGCAGATTTACCCGAGGACAGGATGAAGCCCGTTTTTATTCAAAAAACTTTTGTCCAGCTGAATGAGTAGATCAGATTTAGTCCAGTAAAGACAAGAAATAAACAGAATGACGATGTAATTTAGAAAAGTCAGAATTTAGTGCATCTTGCTTTTGTTGCATGACCAGAATGAGATGATGGATCAAGTGGATTTCCGGTGCATCTGGCATAACTTTAGCCTGCTTTCTTTTTTCCTGCACCAAGTTAAAGTGCACAAATCTTCAAAATTCTAGATTTATGTAAAAAAAACAGCCTCTCTCTTTGCAAGATAATGTGTCAGTGTGTTGCCACGTTGCTTTGAGGGCAGCAGCAACAACAGCAGCAGCAGCAGCAGCAGCAGCTCTGGTGTTGACAGAGCGGCGTTCATTCACAGCAGCTCCCTCTGGCAGCAGAGGAGGAGAGAGCCAGCCCGCCTGCCTGCTGGGGTCACGTGCAGCACGGACCCGACTCCCTGGGGAGCGAGGACGATGAATGGGCGCTCTGTTGCCTCCCACCAAACACCCTGCCTCCAAAAACAGACGAGAGGGAGAGGGGGACAGAGAGCTCTCGCAGAGGCCAGCATGCATGCTTGTGTGCACGGGGTGTTTGGGGGTGGGGGGGGGTTCAGCAGCCCCCTTGGGGCTTGCATTGGGGAATAAACAGCCTCAACATGGGCCAGCTAAACGTTTCAGGTCAGCCACAGCTCACTAAGCAACAGATAGTGGTGAAAGGCTTATTCATGGGTCTGAAGACAGCTTTAAGAGGAATGCCACTCTGATTAGCCAATAACCAACCACCGAGCAAGAGAGCAGTTAGAAGAAAGGTCGAGAAGTTCCCACACACACTCACACTGCAATATTAATCTCTCGTCTGAAAATGTAATGTTTTTTTTTATTAAACCTTCAGGGGAATTGGATTTTAGTAAGACACAAGAGCAAACATTGGATATGTTTTGCTGATCTTTCTCCCTCAGATGCCAACCCCATCATCAAGGAGAGCGTCGCTAAGCAGCTGCTCCGCAGCAAGAGGCAGGAACGGCCGATGAAGGCCGGCCACCCCGATGAGCCAATGAGGGTGAGCTTCATTCAGAGCAATGAACACCATGCAGGGCTTCATTTCCAAACTATCGGTCACACTGAGCTCTCTAACCTTCCTTATTATAAGCAATACATTATTAGAAATTGCAATGGAATATTTAGGGATGTAAAATGTGTTTAATATTTGGGGTTTTGTTATCAATAACAGGTCCTCATAAGAAGCATCAATAATAAACGGATGCTTAATAAAACCATGGAAACAAATCTTAAAGCATTCAGAAGTTGTTTGTAGACATGCACTTCGGATTAGACAGGTTTTAAATTGTATTCCAAACCAATGAAAACTGTTCATATCAAATATCAATTATGTCATTAAGCAGTCATTATTTGCTAACTAGTTTGGGTTCTGGACTGTTTTCATATAACCCTCCACCTTTAATCCCCGTATCCACCCAGGAGCATCTGCTTCACATGCAGGCTCTGGATCAGAGGGCCCAGGAGACCAACATGGAGAACTGGCTGAACCCCCACTGCTACCCTCGCTGTGACAGGAACTACGGATACCCCGTCTGATGAAGAACCCCCCACTTCGGCCCCCTGATGCCCGCTGTACCTGAATGCACCACCGTGCAAACACACACGGCATGACACCCACACTGCAGGGCGCAATCTTCCCAAACCGTTGGAATTTCTAGTATTTCAAAAGGAGTAGAAAAGTTATTCCTCATTCCTTCATTATCTATTGAATTACTTTTTTTATATGTTGCTAATTTCCAGCTGTTGACACTATTCCAGTTATCTGGGGTTGAATGACAACTATCTGTCTCAGCAGGAAACATCTGAAACCTGTAAAACTCGTTCGGTGGGCTCCAGTGGGCTGCTGAACTGCCAAATGGTTTGATTAAATAAAGTATTTGAATACCAACAGGCCAATCCACTGAGCAGCAGGTGGAGACACATGTGATGTATGTCGGTTTTTGAGACAAAAAGAATGAAACTCTGGGTGAGGAAATATGACCCTGAATGCATCCAATTTGGATTCATAATGGCAGACAGTGGCGAGAGCAAGCAGGCTACATATTTTAGTCATTACAGCTGACAGAAGCACAACACCTTCCGTTTTAATTGAATTGCTATATAAGATGTGGTCTCAAGGCCTTCAGTTTAAAAAACAAGATTTAGAAGCCCTGCTTAAACACAGTCAATTATGGTGTTTGGATGAAAGTGCCTGTAGATCAGGGATGTCAAACATACGGCCCGGGGGGTCCAGCTGGGCCGCCGGATGACTTTGATATAAGAATTACAGAAAGACACAAATTGCCTTTCTATAGAAGGAGCTGCTGTTCCAATTCGGCCCACTGGGGGTCAGCCGGACGGTGATTTTCAAGGCCTCCTTGAGATGAAAGTGGTATGTAGTTTGACGCCACTGCTATGGATGATTACAATTTTGGAATAGAGGCCACATCAACGCAAAACTAAACAAATCCAGATTTCTAATCCTTTGTGGTGGTCAAGGTGACAAAATGTTTCCATGCATAAATTACAGGTGGTTTGCTTCGGCCGATATGACATTGTTTGAACTGTTCTTTACTTTTTTTACCAACATTAAAGGAGCTCATGATCATGGCAACAATAAAAAATACTCTCCTAAATATGACCATGTGGAGATTTTCTGATATATAAATGGTCAAGCATATAATCTTACTGTATTACAGTCGTATTGTTATCTCTTAATTGTAAGGTGAAATACAATCACGAATAAAAACATATACATGCTACTCAGTGGTTGTGTAATTAATATGATGTTAACGTTAATGTTAAAAATTAGCATTATATAATAAGAAGAGGGGTGGGTGAGATCAAGCTATGGGGCCTGATTGTATTCATTATGACGGATCAAATAAGCGCTTGTGAAGTTATGCGTTCAGTTAAAAATCAGCCAAGCGAAGGGAAAAATACCCTGCGTTACAATAGTTTCCGTATAAGATCGGGTAATGAAACGGGTTCAAGCGGCGTGAACCGTGTGTTTCGATTTGATCCTCTTGGCACGTTTCTTCTGTAGACTGGACGCAATCACTGAGACCTGATGGGAAAGAGAAGGACAAACTAGGTCCGTCCGCCTGCACCCTCGGAGGAATAGACATAAAAATATTCTACGTAAAAGTGTTCTGAAATATGTATTTTAAAAGTCCATATGTTGGGAATATAAATGCTGCGGGTTGACGTTCACATATATCGCAGCGTTGTATTTGAAACAAATAAACGGGCATAATGTAAAAGGAATACATCTCGGAGTAAAGAGGGGTTTTGAAATCGAGGCCTATAAGAATGAATTGCGTCATTTTTTATTCTCGTAATTTATTTGAGTGGCAAAAGAAAAGCTGTGCTCGCGATGTGCGGCGCGTGGGCCGATAAATGTTCTCAGCAAGTCCGAACTAAAGCTTAAGCTGTCGGTGTAGAAGAGGGGAAAGGCTCATTTTCTGCTCAACGGAATCCGAAATAAATGTAGACCCGCCTCAGCGGACTTGTATTTGTAAAAGGCCTTCAACGTCGGCTGTAAACATCGAGTTATTTATTAGCTCGTTAGAATTAAAAAGAACAAGAAAAATCCAAGAAATAAGACAAGAAAGTAACCCTAACGATGAAACTTGTTTTGATGAAATCCGTCATTTCATTCAGGAGTTTAGGCAAAATCTTCAGAGGATAAAATAGAAACGTGGGAGGCCGACGGCGCTGTAATAAAAACTCAGTTAAAACAAGTTGAAATTGAGAAAATTCGAAGAATTTATTGGAAAGCGTCTAAAAAGCAAATTGACATCAACTCTTTAATTAAAGCTTTGAACGTTTTCTATGAAAATGTAAAATATACCAAGTTAATGGAAAAATGTTGTTATACACACCTCAGCTTGTCTGTGTCAAATTGAGTACTTTATCTTACAAATATAATTACAAATGTTAGATATTATACAGTCAGTTAGTCTTTGAATGCTACACAAACAGATTCTTTTTAATACTTTTGTTTTCAAAAGTGCTTTAGTACATTGTTAAAAATCAACCCCATTGATTTGAACAGGTATTTTCAGTCTAATCGATTCAAATTTGAGAGAAATAAACAATCCACGAATCGAATTCATTATCTAAGCGTTGCCTCACAGCTCAGACTGGGAGAGAGTGAACAAAAAATACATTCATTAGAATTAATTAATTACAAAAGTGTCCGATTGCTGCAGAAGAAACATGCAACATGTTCGTGTTTCAACCAAAGCAAGATGTGAAATGGATCTAATTTGATTTGGTCAATACATTAAAACAGAACATGTTTAACTTTATCATACACGTTATGTAATTCATTTTCATTCACAAAATATTAAACCTGCTTTGCCTGCTAATCAAACGTATTCAGAATGATTCTGATGCCAGTCAGAGAAAGCGGAGCGCGGCGAGCGGGAAACTCGTCGAGCGCTCATCTTTTGTCCTTGAAGAAGCCCTGAGAAGTGCTGCTCTCCTTGATGGTGACGGTCAGGAAGTTGGTGGTCACGTCCGTCACCAGGACCTTCTCCACGTTGCCGACGGAGGGCCTCCACGTCACTTCATCCAAGTCGACCTCAAGCCTGGTTGGGGACGGCCGGTCCAAGAAGTAAGGCTTTTCCATTGGTGGGCGCTCAGCGGGGCCGCTCGGACCCTGGCTCATTTTGGAGGTGTGCTTGAAGTGTACAGGCGCCAGGTAGGTGGAGCGGTTCTTAGTCCTGTGTGTGTCCATGTCTGTTCTGTGTGGATGCAGGATGCGGTCAGAATACAGCTTGTAGGAGCTTGAACCGGTGATTCCCCGGTTGTGTGTGTGGTGATGATGGTGGTGGCGGCGGTGATGGTGGTGGTGGCGGCGGTGATGCCGGTGTTTATGACCGTGGAGCTCCGCATGTCTGTGGGCCACTTTGATCCGCCTCATCTCTTCACCCCCCTGGAGCTTGGCCAGTTTGTGAGGGCTGTAGCTCACCTGCTCCTCTGCTCTCCTTTGGTGGCTTTCAAAGACCGCAGGGCTGCAGCTGCTGTCCTTGAAGCGGGGCTTTGGCTTCGGGCCTCTTTTTTTGGGTAAGCGAATGAGCCCGCCCGGGCTGGTTTGCTGAAGGGAAGGCTGCTGGTACTCACGGCTGCTCAGTCCTGGGGGATGGACACGGACGCTTTCACCGCGGTTCACAGTGCTGGCCGGAAAGATGTTTGGAACGACGGCCCTCAGACCCTCCCTGGCCCTGGGGGTGACCACCGGCTCCGGGGTCGGGTAGGTGATCCCTCGGACTAAGTCGCCTCTGAACTCATAGGACTTGGCCTTAATTTTAGCCTGAGCCTGTTGAAAGGTAAGGAAATAAGAGGGATTTTTTTTCTCAAAATTATACTTAAAAAGGACTCTGCTTAGTTGACTAAACGTACCGCAGCTAAAGGGCGTTCAGCCATCATATATTTTATTATTCACACCTGTGCTCCTGCTGCTGTAGTTTTTTGTGTGTTTATGGAGGGTTTTAAATACCACACAGCAAACAAGCTTAAAACGTGACTTATATTATATATTTATATAAAAATATATTCCTCGACTGTATTTATTGGAGAAATTCAACAATCACAGTTTTAACAATAGACCTGTCGACACAGGTATCTTTTTCAAGGTAAACTGTTATTAAGCAATTTGCACAGTTCTTCTGAATGACGGTGTCTTAAGTAAGCAGACATTTATAAAAACATTATAAGCAAGCTGCCTTCTTTCCAAAACCGTTAGCATGTGAACAGCTAACACCCAAGCTGGCTGTGTGCACAGTCAGGTTAGCCTCATGGAATTGGCAAATGCTTTAACGTTAACTAAAAAGTCACAAAACCAGAACACACGTTGTATACTGTTGTGTTATAAAAAAAATAGGAATAAAAGCGCATTAAATGGGTTAATAAAGACACGCATGGAACAGCGCTTGCTGTACTCACCTTGAGCAGGAACGTCTTGGGTTTTGGTCCCCTCTTTTTGGGCCCATACAGCTCCCTTTCGCGCTCCCTGGGGGGGGGGTAACATGTGTCACGGGAGCAAGGTGCACCGAGGCCGCCATATTAACAAATACATATACAACTATATAACGTTATATGTGAACATTATTTCGGCTGTGCCCATAGAAAGCGACGCCCCGGACGTTTTAACGTCACCTCTGCTCAAACGCCGCGAACAGGCGGGAGTCCAAAATGTTCTCTTCTGGTTCCCAGGTGCTGTATCTGTGGAGGCAACAGCGGCGTTAGGTGACGATGACGAACCGGGCGCTGACAGACACGCACGCGCACGCACTGTAGGGGGGGGGGGTCGTGTCATTAGCCCGCGAGCTACATTCTCCATCGTGCCGTTACACTGGACGTTCACTGCTCAGTTTTAATCGCTAGCCGTGCCGAGCTAACGACACAAGCCACAGCCGAGACAACGTAACGTTAGCCGGACTTACTTGGGAGACCAGCCCTTCCATTTCACGAGGTATTCAATCCGACCCTGCGTGCCGTCAGGAAAAACACACACACAAAAACACAAATGACTTAATTAAGCCAGCGGGGCAACAGAGCTGCGGTTGTGGAAGCGTTAAGGATCCCGCTGTGGGGGAAAAAAAGAAGACCGCCCTGCATCTGTCGCTTACCTTCCTTATCCGCCGTTTGATGATCGACTCGGCGGCGAACACCCTCTCCCCAACGGCAGACAGCTCCATGTTTACCGCGGTGCTTCCTACCGTTAGCTTGCTGAACGCTAACGTTAGCAGAGCAGATCTTTTTTTTTCCTCCAGTCCCAGCCACTCTGAATTCCCGACAGACCATAATACTCCCCGACAGCATGGACGTCAGCGAAAATCTTTCTTTTTTTTTACTGCGTTGCTAAGCAACCGCAGTCGGTGGAACCTCGAGAAGAACGCCCATTGGATCAGCCGTTGCTACGTGCTCGGGTTGCTAAGTGAGGGGAGGAGCGTGTGCCAGGGTACATTCTTTCGGGGCGGGCGGGGCGGAGCGGCTTTCCCCGCGCGCGGAGAGTGAATCATTTTGACACAATTTATAAGGAATATTTAAAGATGCAGGGGATGTCAAATGTGGTTCAGTTCCTTGCGCGCGGAAGTAAATAAATAAACCAGGAAATGCCATTTTGATTTACGCCCCTGGTTTTCCTTTAACATATCCAGCGAGGCATCGTTAGACTAATGCAGTAAACTCTGACCTGATTATAAGCGTATTAATGCTATTCAGCACACATGCATTTCGTTTGTCCTCGTGGCCCAGGGGATCGAAGGAGGCAGAATAACAACGAGATATTTGTAATAAAATTATTTCATATTGACACGCCTTTAAACGCCAAGTTGTAATCGAACGTGTTGCATATATAGGGTCTACTTATATCATTTAGTTGTTTTAAATTTAAGACATAAACACAGAGGTGGGTTCATTGAGTTCGTTTCTTCAATCCGATTAATTGACAAACCGCTGCGTTCCTGTCAGTTACTATGCAATACGTTTAGTGCCTTAGCTTTGTAAGAAAATGAAGCAGACGTCATGACGAGTAATTAAGCATGAATAGTATGAATGAATAGACTATTACTGCATGCAGGTCTGGAAAGCATTTCATATTTATCGGCATTCTAGGCCTGACTGACTTAACCTGCCTGCTCCCACTGTCTGTCTGATTGGCCTTTTCAATAAAACATACGGTTGTGGTCTGATTCAGATATTTATAAACCATGAACCGAGTTCATATGTGTATGGGTATTGTTTTCTGTGACATTTCCCTATAAAGTCCATTGAAATAAGTACAGGCTGTCATTGGGCCTGTTTCAAATGCACCAGCCGACGCAATAAGGGCGCCACGAAAACGTAATCACCAGGTAAGGGAAACATGTAGTGTCCTAAATTGTAAAATGTTTACGTAACACCGTGAAATAAATTCTATATCCGATTCCTAATTGTGACTTTGAAAAAAAAAACTCCTTTTTATTCTCATTGATTTGTTTAATTCTAAGAGAAATATAATACAGACAAAAATAATATACAAATTAAATGGGAAACGACTCAATGAAGGCAACTATAAATTAAATAATGTATTGTAATGAACGAATAAAATAAGTGAATAATTAATAACGACAACAAAAACAAGAACGACTGTTCTAACAATTATAGCTGGTCGAAAGGACCAACGGTTTTATAAAATAGGACAGTGTTTATTTATTTTTAATCTTTAAGAGTATATTGATTATTTATTTACAACGAAACTGAGAGCGAAAATGGATCAACAAACAACGGAGTCTTAAAACGCGTCATGCTCGGACACAATAAAACGTCAACAACCGATCATTACATTATTCAGTCATCGTTTTTCAAAAGTACTAAAAAACTCATCTGTGTCTATAATACATAATAAAACGTGGTACTTTAATTAATCAAGTCACCCGACTAAAGCGATGGGATGGATCAGGGAAACTGTTGACACTCTACGTAATTATTATTTAGGTAGAAAATAACAAAGGCCTTTTAAGCACACAGAAAACATGCAATAAACACTTGAAAAGCCTTATCGGTCTATCGATTTGCAATCTAACCAAATATTTGAAACCTAAATGCCATTGTTATCGGTTTTATCGAGGGTCAATCATTTGTTGCGCTGAACACGAACATCTCGTCTTTTTCCAACCCAATTGTCTCAAAAGGCTGTAATTGAGAATAACCACACCGTTGCTTACTCTATTCTAGAAACATTCTTCTTCTCGTTTGCTTCAAGGTATCAGTTCAAACTAATGCAAGCTGCTCGCACACACAAAGATGTAGACGCTCGTTGCTAACCTGCGTCATGCACGCGCACATTTCCCAAATAAGTAACAGTGTTTCACTCGATTCAAAGCCTTCACAGAGACCACACACAGACAAATATGTGCATTTATAACGCGTCGCACAACGGAAAAAACCCCCACACACCATTGCATTTGGAAAGAATGCAGTTCAGTGGAGGACAACCACCGTCTAATGATGATTTTTGAGATGGACTCCATGGTTTTGTGAGCCCACCCCGCGGACGGGAAGAGGGAGACGGGCGCACCTCAGACTCCGGATGCGATTGGTCTCGACGCTGCTGCAGTGCAGCAGCGCTGCCGCCGTTAGAGCACTATTGGTCGGCTTGTATCCGGGCAAGATGCTGGTTCCCTGGTGGTGTGCTCGCAAAATGGGGACACACAGAAAACACCACGCGGCCACTTTACGGATCATGTAGTCACAGGTGGGACGATCATCCCCGCAGGTGCTTCTGTTAATGTGTCTTTATCAAGCGACCGACCCTGCAGGAGCACAATTTGCTACCTACTCGTCCGCAGCTCATAGATAACGCAGGGCATCGGTACCAGGAGGCTCAACAGGTATACAGCATGCACGCGAGGCAGAGGATATGAAAGGTGAACGTGTTAACGCGCCACACCAGCTACCGGCTCATTTAGTCAACCTGCCACAAACGAATAATCTAAATCCCATTAACTAAACACGCAACCCGCCGATGGATGACTGGCTGGTATTCTAACCTCTTTTTGCAGGGGTGCTCGTACCCGTGTTGTTGCTCCGCTTGGATCGCGCACGAGGACACTAAATGCGTCAGTCACTGCTGCAGGATTTGGGCTGAAGATGATTGAACTGTAAGCATTGTGGTGCACGTGCGTTTCGTTTGCTTCTGAAAAAAAACACAGGCCGATGTGACATTGAAAGAAAGAAATGTTCCTGGATGTTCTGTATAATTTGTATAGTGGACACAGCTGTTTTTATATGACAAACATCCTTAGTTGAATCTATTTGAATTCATTCGTTTTCAAGAAATGATGGAACTCTCAAGTCTAAACAATTGAGTTCACGATTTAGGCTATTTTCGGCCCCTGCGTATGCCGTCATAGTTGACCACAAATAGGCCTAAAGGCTGTTTGGTGATCCGTTCCTGGCAACTGGATTAGAGCAATACTCATATTTACCACAAATAAAATAGTCTTTGCTGCCCTCCTTTATAAACAGTTGTGACTGGATTTAGAAAACAACATTAAAACAAACATTAAAAAGGTTATGTGGCAAACATATTTGGTTCATAATTATCATAATGTTCCCACCTAAACCATACATTTTCTATAAAAAAGGATCCCCCAGAAATAAAGCGGATATTTTGAGAAAAACATCAGCACACATGCCTTCAGAGCCTCTCCGGGCCCAACTCATACACGTTGAGCACGAGAAGAGGAACCAAAGGGTGGGTCGTCAACAAGACGTCCTTACACCATTTATTCTCCACACTTCTTATTTAATTTAACAGATAACATGCAACTTGGTGTTTTGCAGTTTTTTTCTTCCTTTTTGGCCTTTACATGAGCAAAGACAGCGGCGGATCCACGCGTACATGCTTCGTGCATAATATCCTTCTGTGCGGTTTACCGATTCGGTTTTCTGAGTAGAAACGTCGTTGCGATCAGTTTTCAGGCGCAGCGGCTTTTTGCGAGAGCGAAAGCGACGGAACTGGATGGGACAGAGCACGAGGACAGCCATTTTCTCTTTCGTGGCTCCACGTCAAGGCGCACAGGACGACTGTTTTTTTTTGAGGACTCGAAGCCGAGAAATTGTCGACACGGCCCGCCTGCAGTCCGCCGCGGTCAGGTACGGTGTCACAGCTGTCGAATAAACATTTCGATTCGCGCTTCCCCCGAACAGTACCGGAGCACAAAAAAAGGGCAGATGTGCGTCAAACGCTCGCAACCAAGCACGAATGTTCGGGGAGTTTGTGACCAGGCAGAGCACGCGTCTCCTCGTCGCACATCCTTCCGGACCTGGTTGATGAAGAAAAGGGGGGAGACCTGCGTGACGTGCGTGGACATCTCCCGCTGGACGCGTTTGGACAGGCGGAGGAAAGCAGTCGTCTCCCTGTCAGCAGGATCCGTTCGGCTCACACGTGACAGACAGTTATTGAGAATTGAACTGCCTCTCCAAAAGGATCGCGCGAGGGGGTCGCATCACGATCAGCCGTTAACATGCAGCTATTAAGACTATTATTCATTTGCATACTATCTCCACTCCATCAGATGTTTATTACGCGCACGGAGTTAAAAACAGCAAATCTGCCCCCTTCAGTCGCTGGGTTGCGTGTTGCGGATGTTTCAAATGAAGGGAAGCCCCCCCCCCCCCCGTCCCCCCCACGCGGGGTAAATAACTGGTCCGGGAAGCCCGTCTGAAAATAAACGCTCCCTCTAATGACCCTCGTGGCCCGCAACCGCCACAAGTCATGGCCACAAATAGAGACATGGACCGATTTAGCAACTTCTGAGGTGAGGACTGACATGTGCGTTACAGCAGTTCAGTCTGGACTGGGAGGCCAAGGTCGCATGTGACGTAGGCGTTAGGATTATGTAAATCTTTAAAAAAACACACACACACACAAGTCCATACATACATTTGCAAACAATTTTATTATTGCAAAAGTTGTCATAGGAAGTCTTTGTTTGTTTTTTTTCTTTAGTCTGCACACAAAATAATCAAAAATGCACCTGATGGTGGTTCTCAAAGCAGTTCAGTGCACCTCAGGTCACACGGTGCTGGAAGGGATTTAAAAACAGGAGATGGAGCACGAGTGACAAAGGGAACAGATCTGATTGTTAGAAATACGTGTGCTTTCACATTAACGCAATGACGCAAAAGTTACTCAAACAAGACCGCAGGACAAGTCCATTCAATCCCAGTCAAAGAAGCACTTTGTTGTCACAGCTACAAAACATAAAAGAGTTCCGGGGTTGTGTGTCTGCTGTGTTAATGGAAGTGACTTGTGCTCAGTAATCAGATCTCGAGATGCAAGACTAAAAAAAAAAAACCCCAACACTGAAAAGAGCATATATCAAAGATTAACAACTAAACATTTCATTTAACAATGATCACATTTTTCCTTTTAAACATCGCAAATTATTTATTGACAGAAAGGCGCTTATTTTTTTCTTTATCTGCTTGTTTAAGTGTCCCTAATGGCATTATCTGTCCAAACAGCATGCATCCTTGTTTAAATCTGTCATCTGCACACGCACACACACACACACACACGCACACACACACAGTGGAATTTAACATGTTTCTATAGGATTTTTCTCCTTGACAAACTTCTCCATAAAGCCTACATTTGTTTAAACATTTTCTGAGATGCGGCCAGTTGAGCGTATGATTAAATTACATACAGAGAAAAGTGACAAAGATTTACAAGAGTTAAGTGCATCTTCAGAGTTCAGACATTTGGCCAAGTTTGAAACAGCAACATGTAGATTTCCAGCAATAACGGAGTTGTAAGAAAATATGCAAATAACGCAATAAATGATAATTTTCTTTTCTAAATTTAAACTGGAAAAAAACAAAAGCAACGCCATGGGTCCATTTGTACATTCAAAGATCCGAAAATACAAATATATCTTATGTACATCTTCACAGTAGCTACAGAACTCGGTTACGCGGTGATGTATTCCTTAAATGTGACCGTGAGGCAGTTCGTAGTAATGTCCGTGATCACTATATTCCCGAGGAAAGGCTGGAAAGACGGAAATGGGTCTTCTTTTGTTTTTACGTGGTCAGAATCGGAAGATGAGTCAACATTCTCCTCATTCCTCTCAGTTTCACGCTGAGCGTCTGTCCGGGCGTCAGCTTGCGTGTCCGTTTCGTCCTGTGTGCGCGCCTCGGCTGGTCTCGCGGTCTGAGGTTGCGTGTGCGTTTCCGGCTGGGCCGCGCTGGGCCTGGACTTCACAACGCTCAGGTCGATGGGCTCCTCCTGGTCCGCGTACCCGCAGTCCTGCGGCCCGACGTGACTCGGCGGCCCGTTGTGGTCGACGCCGAGGCTCTTGGTGGGCGAGGACGCCTCGTTGAGAGCGCCCGTACTCCTGGAGCTCAAAGACCTCTTACAACTCCCGTGAACCTCGCTGTCAGAGAGGTGCCGCTTCAGTCCTTGAAATCCGCCCGGGCTTCCTCCTTTGTCCAATGGGGAGGCTCCTCCCCTGTCCGAGGGCAGATCAAGCTGCGTTGCCAATCGTAAAGGCTGATCCGCCGGAAGCTGCCTCTGCCCTCTGACCCCGCCATGTTTGTCCTGTTTATCCAGCACAGTTGGCTCCGTTTTGGGGGACGGTTCCTTTTCTTGGGGGCAACGTTTGTTAAGTCCAGAACTGACAACTGTTGGTTTGTCTTTGGAATTTTTTGCTAATCCATTCATGAGGCCGAGCTTCCTGACCAGCTTCATCTTCTCAAGGTGGTTCTCCGTGCCGTTGTCGGTTCCTCGCGGCGGCTCCACGCCGCTTTCAGAATCACCGTCTTTAACCTTCGGCGCTTTCATTCCGTTTTCCATGTACTTGCTCATGACAATAACAATCCGGCCGTTCTTGTTTTTGTTCTTCACGATCTTCAGCTTGCCGTTGCTGGCACCGTTGGACTGCGGTGCGGCGTCCTCTTTGGGCCCCACCCTCTCCGGCTCTTGGTGGCCGTTCAGGTCAGCTGGGAGCTTCTTCAGCTCCATGGCGATATCTTTGACCTTAGTCAGGCAGCCAGACTCCTTGTCCCGGACCCACTTTTGCTGCAGCACTGGGGGAAGGTTGTAACCCTTGTTAGCCAGCTCGGATGCTTTTAACTCCCGCGGCTTAACAAACACGGCCTCGTGGTCCTTGAGGTCTGGCTGGTAGGGGTGGTGCTTCTTGCTGTTGAGCTGATAGTAGAACTTCTTGCCGTTGGCCTGTTGCTGCTCCGCCTCTCGCTCCCTGCACAGCGGCTGGTACTGATGATGCTTCTTGCCGTTCATTTGGTACTGCTGGCTCTGGGGACGGAGCAGCTGGATGGGGCCGGTCTTCTGACAGCTGTCCTCGTCCAGGGACGCCGCGTGATGACCAGCTAGAAGACTGGATCTTCGGGCGAAAGAAGGCACCTGTGAAACCAGAGAGAAACGTGTGCTTATTAAACTCCATCAGTGCAACTGGCGTTTTTTTACACAGGCGTCCCTCTCCGTGGGGCATCTGACGGTTAATGGTTCAACTGGAGACAATATCTACACATGTGTCTGTCAGGCTACAACAAAAAGCCATATTCATTGGGGCCCACGGGTTGCACTTGAGAAACAGGGCTTGGAATGTGAGAGGGGCTCTTCTGAGGCACACTGTTTATTTCAGGGGCCTGCGCCCATGTTTCACAGGCCTCCAACAGCTACTGCGAAGCCCTTTCAGCCACCGACAGGGCCATCAGAGTGACATTTCAAAGTGTCTCCTGTGGCTGTGACCTCAGCACGGAGGAATGATACTGGCTGCTTTGTGTTCCGTCATTTACTTTATCCCATGTGTTACCACCAACAGCCTCCAGAGAGGAACAAAAAGAATCTCCTGCGGGGTTCCCCCGGCCTTTTCTACCTGTGATTGATGCGCTAAATGTACCATTCACAGGCATTTAGCTACAACTGTTAGGTCAGGCATCTGGTCCCTAAAAAATGATCATATCTTTTCTTTGTAATACATATTCAAACACCTTTGTTAAAAAAATCTCTATAGAATCCATTTAAATCCACCTCACATGTTTTTTGTTTTTTTTATACTGCTGCCTGGGAATCGTGCAGGATGTATTTTAAGCAAAGCCGTAATTCACCTTTTCCATTATTCATAGAGCAGAATTGAGTCTCACTACGTCCTCACCTGAACCAGAAGGTGCTTGGGCTTGGGTCCTCTCTTGCGATATCCCATCAGCTGCTCTTGGCGTTCCCTATGGGAGAGACAAAGCAGCAGCCAATCACTGAAACGGTCTAGCAGAGATGAGTTGCCGTTGCATGGCAACACAACGTCACGGGAGTCCTCCTCAGGCTCAATTAGGAAATCCTGAGCCTGTATTACAGGTTGGAGTTACACTTTCTCCTGCACAGTGAAATGTATTCACCGCAGATTACATTTTTTTTAATGTCATTTCACAGTATATTCATCAACCTATTAGGTTAACTGAAACAGTGAATTGATTCTCCTTCCAACTGAACTTACACATAATATACCATGTTATCATATATATATAATTATATACAGTATCTAATATACATATATATATATTAGATGTTGTAAAGTGGAAGATGAAGACCAGCCCTTCGCTGACTTTCATTAGTTTCACTGCGTCTCCATGTAAAGTCTCTCCAAGGCAGTAACTCAATACCACAGACAGAAGTGATGTCAGTCCCCTCCCCCACTCCCCTCGCTCACATCTAATTACAATGACAACTCGGTGTATTTTCATAGCCCGGCATTCAGACGATTTGGCTCCCCGGAGAGACACGCAATTAGTTTCAATAAGGCCGCTCCTCTTTAGAGGGAGGTAATTGCAAAAACAGACGCAGACTGACGTTGGTGTTATGCTTTAGCGTGCGACCTGCGCCTGCGAGCGAAAGGTGAGGCACACCGAGAGAAAAGCCAGTGACAGTTTAACAGGTCGGGCATTGATGAAATTTAATTACACTGTCCTTCATGCGGAGCTGTCTGGTCAGTCACTCAACAGAATATTTAGCAATTAGTCACGCTGCTCGGTAGCGCACTTTGAAGACCATGGACACTTTCCTCTAATGGGGAACACGAGGAAGTACCTCTGGTTAGACAGTGAAACAGTGCACACACACACCTCTGATTTACAACAGTTCCTAAGCAGCTATTTAGCTCACTTCAATCTTCATTTCCTCCTGCCTCTCCACTACATATTGAGCGGATTAAGGAAAGACGTGGATCATAATTGAAACCCCCCTCTACTAAAAGAAAAACGTTTTTTCCAGCTTTTGGTTACTTTACTTGGATAATGGACCTCCAGTAGTTAGACATTTGAAGGCTGCTTCCACATTAAGCTGCTAAAGGGAAGAAGTTTTTCCCTGCAATCCCCTCCAGTGAGTTCACGACGTGGTCACTTTGTGACATCTCAACTGGTTAGGAGAAAATAAAAAAGGTCCAATATACAATTTACCAAAGCCAGAAGTAGGTTACATTTTGTTCCTAGAAGTAAAACCTTTACATTTAAAAACACTCTTTCATACATCTGGACTTTTAATGGACAAATAGCTGTTTTCGATGAAAAAAATACACCATCGAGAACACATTGATTACACATCCATCGTATTTTTTACAAATCATCCGCAGGATGTCTCAAATGGATTTAATGTAAATGTTTAAAGTAAAACAAAAACAGGTTACCAAATTAGAAATTAGCCAGACAGATTACTTCATTAAATTAGGTAAATCACTTCTGCATAATCAATTACAATGGGTTTATTCCATGTCCTGTGGAAGATGACACAGGTGCACGTGGTGACTGGATGGTGGGACAGCAGTAGCATATTAGCACAATAACCTTTTGCTGACACTCAAATGAATATCAGGTAACAAAATTAGATCCAACACCGTGTTTGCTCTGGTAACCCTGACCTGAGTTTGACCTCAACCTGACCCTCTGATGACACCCGTGGTAATCCTGATCCTAAACCCCCAGGCACGGCATTTCTGCACATTGACACACGCATTGTGCAGCAAGTTTATTATACACATCGGATTATCCAGATAGTGAGCATGCAGCATACTTCCCGAATTCAAAACATACAGGGAGTCCCTCCCCACGGACGAAAAACAAACTATTTTGCGAAGAACTGAAAATGTAGAATTTGTTGAATCTAAACCTGCGCCAAATCCAACTTGAAACCCACCTGTCTTGAAAAGCATCAAGTAGTCTTGGGTCCAGGATGTTTTCCTCTGGTTCCCACGTGTTGTATCTATTCAGGGAGCAGACAGGAAGCAGTGAGCACACATGGCCTGTCAAACTGTGGCTGACATCATCTGACGTAGGCTAAGGGGTTATCTTTGCACCGGAACAACTGTCGCATCGTAAATCGGTGTCCGTGTGTGTAAATAACACGCTGGGGCCACTTGCACTCCCTGTGGATGCATGTCTAATAAAATCAGGGTAACTTTTACGCGCGGCTGTGGGCGGTGCGGAGGGGGAGGAGGACCATTGCCCAGCCTTCGCTCAACTGTATGGGCCTTCCTCATACACACGATCAATGATATATACACGTCTTCTTTTAATTGGCACACTGGGGATTGCATACATTCTAAAACCACATCACTCATCGAGGCAAACGAGTCGCGAACCCAAAGCAAGAACGCGCAACCGTCCATGTGCGCGACCGGGCTCGCCCTGATGCGCAGCTTTTACACACTTTTAGATGCTCTTTTACCGACACGGGGATCATGTGTGACAAAAGGTACTTACTTTGGAGACCATCCTCGCCACTTGACCAGGTACTCAAACCGCCCCTGAGAATGGTGAGAAACGGGACAATCAGGGCATCGTTACTTTACACGGCACGTTTCACTATGCATTGCACCGTCACCTGAGCTCTAACGAAATAACACAGTCCAAACCAGGTGACGGGAAACGGGACCAGCAATGATCCTCCTTTAAATGTGCATAAAAATGTCCTTCGGTGCTCTTGAGACAAACCTTTCTGATGCGCTTCTTCTCGATGCTCTCCACCGCAAAGACGTGCTCTCCCGCGGCGGGCAGCTCCATTTTCCGATACAGGAGTATAGCTGCTCTCCTGTTGGTGTTGTTGTTGTTGTAGTAGTATTTTTTGTAACCCTCTGCTTTTGCTAATCGACACGTTATCCTTGCTTTCAATACGTTTTTTGTTTTTGCTGCTGATCTTGAAACACAAGAGCCCCCCTCCTCCGCCTCCTATTTCCACTGCGCCTCTTCCCTCGCTTTCCCCTCGGAGACTCGTTCTGCAGGCGGGTTGAAGCTGCAGCGAGAAAACACTCCATGCAAATAGCCGTTGGAGTGACGTCAGAGAAGGGGGCGGTAACAGTGGCGGAGGGATGTTCCCATGCTGCCTTCAGGTACTGGAATTAAATGTACGATCACGACTTCGTTGACATTAGAACGTATATGTATGTATTTTATATATGTTAATGGCTATGCTGTAGGAAAAGCAACACATACAGTGTGTTTTATCTACTGAGGGCCATAGAAGCCACGGTAGCAAGTTGTGGAAATCTACAAGAGTTGACTAGAATATATTTTGTAGCAACTCTCGCAAAGGAGGTTCTGGACAACACGTTGTTCTTATGATTTTATTGCAAACAAGGAACCAGTCTGTTACAATATTATCTAACTTTACGACTGCAAATAAATTCACATTTTCTTCTGATTTGAACGTGTTTTTTAACTGTTAATCATCAACAGCATATATAAAATATGAATGATGCCACCTTTTTTCTAAATCAAGGAATCGATTTGCATACAAACACCCCTGCACACCTTATCTTTGCTATGTTGTTGTGTAAAACTGAAGTTGTCATGGTAAGAAAGATTTTTTTTCCTCCTATGTGAAGTCAGGTACTTTCGGTTTTGGTTGGAATGAAACCCAAGGCCTATTCCCATGAGTAATCCACATAGATAACAATCACAGGCCACATACCACATTTCATAACGTTCAGCCAAAGGCAAGTACATCCGAAAAAAAGAAAAGAAACACGGAATGTGGTTCTCTAAAGCACGTGCTGAGCTCAAACCCTGAACGCATCATGCCTGCCTCTTGTCTTTCTGGATGTGAAGCGAGATCTGACTGCAAGAGGGTGCTGTGAAAAAGGAGAGCGCTTCCTCTCCAAACCGGCTCAAGTGCAGCAGCTTTTCCAGGCCTGAATTTTTGTATTTTCAGCCAGGACGCGTCCGACTTGGTTCGTATCCCTGCGCCAACCTCTCTCAGGGCCGTTGTGCATTCACGAGTTGGGCACATGACACATTTGGGTCCACTTGTAAGAACAATATGAACTATACCACCTGACAATTCACCACAGGCCCAACCGACGTCAAGGCCGGAGCCTGCGCGAAGCGGACTTATCACTGCCGCCATCTCTAGGCCCGTCCTATGACCCTATGATCTAGCAGGGGAACAAATTCCCATTAGGCGCTGGACTGAGCCGCGCATGTGAGATGCGCCGTGGATCAGTGCCCGCGCGTAGTTAAAATTGCCCGACTACATTCCCCATTTCCTTCCCGAGTCAAGGTCACACAAAGGGATGACATTTCGCATGGCACCGTATCGCGGCGATTTGCGGGGGGATGTTTCTCTCTCTCTCTCTCTCTCTCTCTCTCTCTCTCTCTCTCTCAAAGATGGCCCCTGGTTACGTGGTAGTCAATTTAGGTCAGCACCCCCCCCCCCTCCTCCATGTCGGGGCTTTTCATACCCGCAAGCTTGAACTCCAACAGGGTCATTTTGTGACTAGGGAGCCCCGACGGGACCGGACCGGACAGGCGCCACACGGTTCCGTTATCGCTTGGCACGGAGCGCGTGCAGACGTGACTCGCGGTAGGAACCAGCTCGGGCCCGTGCGTGGGAGCGACACAAAGACGTCTGGCACCAGAACCGGAGTTCATCGAGACGCCAGCGCCTAACGTTGTGACACAGTTACAATAAAATAGATGCTGATGTACAAGATTGATTTTTTTTAATCGAGACATCCAGTTTCTTACTGCCATAAGCTCCTAAATCCAGATGTTTGGTGATGCATTGCACTCGCATCCACACCACGGATACCTTTTCGATGCATTGCTTTAAAAACCAAAATGCCAACGTTAAATCGTTTACGACGCCCCGCTTGCATTGTTTTATCCGATTAGACCAAATAAAATTCAGCAGCGGAAGGGTTAAAGTGCAGGGATCCCGCAGGCGGCGGCGCTCGGCCTATTGCAGAAAGGCACGACTGTCTCTCCTTATAAGGCAATGAGCGCAAACCGGCGGCGAAACGTCTCGGCAAACGAACCAGCACGGTTCCCCTTTCAAGCGAACCCATCCAAATCAGCGGTTGTTCTTATTCTTCGCCGGTTCGGCCGCCGCGGCTCACGCTCGGCAGCTTCAGAGAACGTGCGCGCAAGTTCGCTAATTAAGGACGAGCGTGAGGACGCACGGTGGTCAATTAGAAGCCCCCCTCGGGAGGGATTACTGACCGGGGGAAAGGCTTTGAACAGACGACCACTGCTGGGTCACCTGCGAGCCCCCCGCCCCCCCAACCACCTCCCGCCGCCACACGTGTTGGCTCCACTGACGCATAATTCCACTCATCTCACGCGCCATACCTGCCCACCAGACACTACATCAAAGCAGTGGTCGGTAACGTCAAAACAACATTACCGTGCTAACTGTATACGCGCTTGGGGACGTGGCACGTTTTCCCAGGTGCGTATGGAATGCGATGCAGCGCGTGCGTGTTCGGAAAAAGGTACCGCGCGCACCAAAATACACCTGAACAGCTTTACGCACGGGCGAGATCAACGTAAAACCTGCAATCACCTTCAGATCCCAAGCAGCTTGAGCTGTCTGAAACATGATTTATTCTTCACACCTCCATAGCCAAAATGAATCATCAAAACTAAAAACACCAATGAAGAAACCGGTTTGGCGTCTTCCCACAAACATACTCTTCTTCTCTCTTGTCTACATCTGTTCCTCCATAAAACCCAATAACAACTTGAGAGTTACATTGCAGGCAGATTTCTCCGAATAAATATGCTGATCACTTTGTTTCAGCTTCAGCTCTATAATTCATGAAAATGGTAATTTTTCATGCAATATGTGCAGGTGCAATCCGACACCGGTGAAACTGACTCACTTACTTCCCCTGAAATGATTTGCTGAAGAGGATCACTTCGTCCAGTGAAAGTACAATGGGAAGCCACAAAACATTCCAAAGAGACGTGCTCATTGAACCATTATTTGAATGTAATGCGAAACTAACACCTTCAACATTAAATATAGGTATTCATTTCCTACCAAAGCCATTAAGGTAAGAAAGTTATAACTTTATAAATCGTATTGTAAATAAACATTTAACTCATTACTCTGCCTTTGGTTCCTTGGTAAAAGCTTAGTCAGTTGTTCAGTTTTCACCTCCACAAGTTAGATAAGGCAGTGAAGTAACATTTCTCCTCCACAAGGAACTCATAGACATTTAAAATGTAATAATACAAAAATAAAAAATCATAAACAGTGACATAGGGGAAAGAAAGGAGTGAAAAAACAAAGCAAAATGCTTTTTCAAAAATGTTTTTAAATGTCTTTGTGAAGGGGCTGTTGGAGACACTCATGTGCGCCACTCACACGCAACATTGTTTACAGTTTGTGAGCTGGAAAGAAAACCACAAACATGGTGTCCGACCTGCCATGAAGAGCAGCTGAAAATCAGAGGTGGCAAAGGGCACCATGTCAGCACGGAGAGGAAGGAGGAGGAGGAGGAGGAGGAGGAGGAGGAGGAGCAGCAGGTGAACGCCAGAGCTGATGTTTATGGACATATTTGGATCCATGGATCCGATGACTCCGCTGCTTCCCCCCGATAAATGTCAGAGGATCTGACTGAGATGACATTTCCACGTAGGAAAAAGTGACGCTCCGTCTGCGTCACGGCGCCGTGATGCTGATTAAACGACAAGCAGAGGAAAAAACAAGAGGACGGAGGGGAGATGAGGTGTCAAGAAACAAAAGTCCAGTGAAAAAAGGGTGGGACACGGCACACGTTTGCTCATAAGGAAATAAAGACGCGTATTTCCAGCTCAGCGTGATTGTTAAACCTCAACGGAGCGCATCAGACTTTGCTTTGCTCCACTAATAAAAGTTTTCTCAGTTATAAATGAAAATACAACACAAAATAATTGACTTAGTTATGTAAAGCAAGTGTCGCCAGGCTTTTTGAAAAATCTATTTTATCAACGGCGGAAATTCATATTCCGCTTCAGCGTGTTTTTTTAACAAAACCCGATGTGTCACCTGTGAAGAGGACGGTTTAAATGTGTCCCTTCAAATTGATGTTCCATTGAGCAGAGCGGAGTGTTGCTTTCAGACCAAAGCAAAGGTTTTATGATCAGCCCAAACCGTCATCGCTTTGTTTCACTGTTTGTTTTCTCTTTTTATAAAAGATCAAACAAGTGAGTCACCGGTGAATAGCAGTCATGTTTTAATGCACCTTTAACAACAGCTCAGGCTGCGCTCATTACGAGACTCACAGCGTTTGTCGTCAGTAAAGGTTAGTGTGAGAGGAAGAGACGGATTTATACTCAACACGTATTCACAACACACACTTATTTAATGTCTTTGACGCCACCGGTCACATATTTTATCATCAAATGGATTTTCACTATTTGTAACGTAATGCGTCTTGTGATAAATAATGGCAGAGAGATTAATCCTGTGACTTTGATAAAACACGGGTGAGAATATCCATCGATGGCTTTGTTTGTATCTTGTAATTGTGGGATGAGTTGTGTCACGTCAGAGTGGTTATAAACAGCAGTGGAGGGTTAAACGAATGCACACTTTAAAAGGTTTTTTTTCCTGCTTGGCAGCCACAAAAGGAAAATGTAATCTCCAAAGCCGCCTTCCAAGGAATCTGATTTCAACATTTCCCAGCGTGTGACAAATGTTTTTTTTTGAGTAAATTCTTTGGAATTTATGAAGTCACTCTCATTATCTCCTCCTTTGAGAATAATTAAAAAGGCTTTGGAGATGCACAAAGCCAGAGCTACACATAAATCACCGGCGCGCAATTAAGAGATTCAATACGCAATCCGAATACCGGGGTTATTTTTATCTGAAATCTACGTTAATGGGTGCACGTCACTCATGGAGGAGGGAAGAGGGGTGGGGGGGGATGAGTCCCATGAGGAGGTTTTCTAAAGACTCCTCCTGCTTACGTCAACGGGGCTCCTGCTCACGACACGAGCTGCTTGTGTCTCCTGTGCTGAGAGAGAGACTC